ACTTAACTGCTTTCTAACCTAGAGGCAGTTTATCTGAGCGCCCACAGAGCGGGCAGAGTCAGACAGCTGGACAGCCTGATAAGTGTGTGTGTGTGTGTGTGTGTGTGTGTGTGTCTTTGTGTGTCCAGAGTTCTGCAGCTCAGTAGTGGGGGCCACTCTGTTGTAAAAAAAAACAACAGACAATACAGCGCCTGCATGGAACATCGTGCCTCCTTGAGTAACCTTGACCCAGTGTGTATGTGAACATACACAGAGTCAGGTGATCAGCTCTACAGGTAGCTTACAATCCTCTGAACCTGTTCAGTGATTGAGTGGTTTATTGTGATGTAAGGATGTAAATTAAGGATGTAAATTAATATCATATATATAGGCCTATATAAATATATGTGGAAAATATCATGTCAATATTTTAAGGGATTACAAATGAGGTCTTCAATAGATCCATCTCACCTGGGCTTTTGTGTTTTACATCAAAAATAATATGTTTGTATTACAAGTGGTCGCTGTATAATGCTGAGTTATTGTTTAAATTGAAAAAATGGCAAGGAACTATTGACTATTATTCCTATTATTGTTGTTTTAGAAGTAGTAGCTGTTGTTGTTTTTTTGGAATTGTTTTTTTTTTTTAGAACAGTGCAATGATAAGATGAATTGTTGTTAAAAAAAATTGTTTTGCAACAAATGATAAATTAGACCCCAAAAAATATGGGGGCACACTGACGTCACTTTCTCGGGCAATCCCGTTTGTGCAGATGGCAGATGGATGTCCACCGAGGAGTCTGGTTCAACTCGAGGTGTCTGCTTGTTTAGAAAGACTTCATATAAATTGACTGATTGTTACATTGAGGATTAGCAAATCAAGGAAAAATATCTATGTATCTATGTCTGTCTGTTTTATTATTATTTTTGTTGTTGTTTTAATTTTCAAGAAACAAATAAAATAGTGAAACAGACACAAAATGTTCACCGTGTACCTGTCCGTACACACACACGCAGTTCAATTATGTCACTAAAGCAATCAAACGCCGATAATTAGGCGGTGAAAGCTCCCTGGGAGGCCGTCAGTCTGGTGACTCCGGGTAGTTCCTGCCAAAAGCCAAAGAAAAGCGCACACACGCAACTCAGCAGTGCGCCTGTGCTGCAGGATGGCTGGAGAGTATTACGCACTCCTCAGTGAGAGGACACGTCTGGAGAGGTGCGGGGTCTGAGTTTAGATGCAGGGGCGAAGAACAGGAACAAAATGCGGAGTCCTGAGCTGCTGACACTGTCGCCGCTGTACAGCAACAAGAGGTGTTTGTGGGTCGATCCTCTCTCGCTGTGAATCATGTCTGCAGGTAGATCTTGTGACCGGGAAAGTTGTTCGTCGGTTGTTTTGATCTGAGGCAAGATGCATCTGTTTCGGAGTCATTATTACCGAGTGTTCCCGGACCGATTCTCGGTGGAAACGCCGAGCATCCGAGGCATCAGCTGGGTATGCTTTTTCTGGTATTTTCTTTCGAGATGTGTGAATGAAAACAAAAACGTGTTTTTGTTGAAGCCTAGTTATAAAGTGGCACACATAGATGATCAGGAGAGGAGATTAGAATTATGTTTGTTCTACTTTTATTTAATCAGTGTAAAGAAAATAACCTAACCAGAAATGTTAAACAGAAAATACTTGGCTGCATTGTAATAATATGAGCCCTTCATTAAAATCTTAGCTGCACAAACATCCTAGGTGTATTATCACAATGCACTACTATATCATAAGTAAATATAGACCTACTTACTTTGCCTCAGTTGCCCATTTTAGAATGTTGTTGGATTATAGCTTTATAAGGGAGGCATAAATAAGCAATCTCTGTTTAATGGTTCAAATCTGCAAAGCAATTTACCAATGTCGTAAAGTAGCCTAAGTTTTATTGAGTGATAAGTAGAACTCAATAACTCAATATTGTACTTATGAAGAGTATTACTGTACCACTACTGATAGCCCATGTTGCATTCCTCCAACAACTTAAATCGCCACCTTCAGCATTTTTTACTCCATTACCACTACTCAGTGTGGGATCTTTAATGAAGCATTGTTCATAGAAGGATAAAAAATGACATTTGCTTTCTGTGAATTCCATTAAATAGTCCCAACACCACTGCTGGAGGACACTGATGAATCTTCTGAAAACCCATAATCATAATCTGTTGAGCAAATTGGCTGATACTGAGTGTCTAGTGCGTGGAGGTTTAATAGCCCTAAAAGCTTTTTTTTGTGCGAGTGTAAACACAATCCACTGTGCAAGCAAAGCTGCATTTTGTCCTGAACCTGAAAATGAAATGTGTGAATGCGACAGATGCAGCATTGTTACTGTACACTCGCTTCTTCTCACCTCCACCATGACACTGTTAAAGCCCCCAAAAAGCATGCTTGCAGATATTCCAAGAATGCTTGAAGTGGACTGAGGCAGATTTCGCTATTGTTTTAGCAGCTTGGGTGTGGGGACACAAAGGAGGTAACAATGACCTAAGGTTGTTTTGTTTTTTTCCAATCAAACTCAGGTTATTAATAGTGTATTGTTAACCCTCACCACACACCCCAACTCAGTTTACAGAAGACTGTAGAAGAATGAGCAAGGGGCAGGTTTCCAAGACGCAGGAAGACACAGAGTAGCTGTGAGGACTCTAAGGTTCTAAATTTACTTGACTTTTAAGCATGAATAGGTCAAAGACGACTGTAAATCTCGACAGGCCGCCTTCTGAACTTCCTGCTGTTGTAAGCCAAATATCAACGCAATATTTTATACAAAGCTGCTCAAAAGGTTAGACTACAATAAACTGTAAATATAGCTGACAATTATGTTTTGGCTGTGGCGTCTTGGTTTGACCTGAAAACCTTAGAGCAGTAGTCCTTTATGTTCAACGTATTTCTCAAATGTCACAAATGGTTAAACTTGTTGTCTCTGCCAGGTGAGTTTGTATTTATTCAGGTTATCTCACACCTTATAAATCACACAAGAGCTCCTTCAAAAAGACGTCCTCGTTATTGGATCTGCCAAAAGTGTCATTTTCAAGCTGACAGCACCTCCTCATAAAATCAACAGATGCATTAACCTGGCATTGTTTGCATATTTGGGTGCATTATTTGTAATATATTGAGTGAAAAGTAGTGCCTCAATTCTTCATTTTGTGCAGAGGCCATATTTCTCTGTTATCCTTCTCCGAGAGGGAAGCTCAGATGCTGTAATGACGTCAAGCTGCTGTTTCCCAGGCTAACAAATCATGAACTGGAGGAAATCTGACAAACAGTTATTATTTTACAGCGTCTGGATTATTTAGAAACTGCAAAGTCTAATGAAAATATTTACATTTCTTTAAGGAAAAGATGTTAAATCCTTGCTAACAGAAGGCTTGCTAAATTATCTTTTCAGTGGCCAGCAGTAATGTTAGCTTTGGATTGGTGAATTCCTACATTAGCTGTTTTTGGAGCTTTGAACAACTTCATGGAAAATTCTAATGGCATGCTAGCTCACTAACATTTCTTTAAGTTAACTGTAAAGTTAGCAGGAAGAGGTAGACTTATAAAGTTAGTTGGTTATTAACCCATTCCATACATTTAGGCAACAGCTTACATCAGCTATCAGGTATTTTAGCTATCATAATTAAGATAAAGCCATATTGAATAGGAATTGGTTTGATTCTGAAGGTAGCTTAGTTGTTCATTAACCCATAAGAAAACTGATAGACAGCATTCAAACAATTCCTAGCTACCAGTATCCTTTGATAGTTTTACATCAAACACGTAAGTTCCAGTGTAATACAAATTTTGGCTGACTAATTTGAATTAATCATGAATTTAGCAAGGCATGCTAACTTGAGCTATATTTTTGTAAAACTCTCTTGTAGGGAACTACAAAATCTAGCCAAACCACTTCCAAGCTAACGTAATTGTTTGCTAGTGTTTTGTTGACAGCAAACCAGGAATATAAAACTTTCAAAACTTCGTCTGAGCTTTCCAGCCTGAGCGTGATGTCAGAAGAAAATGGCTTCCATGTGAAAATTATGACTAACAAGGTTCATTTCATAGCTGTGTTTACATCTCTGTTTTGATATCCACCAAAGCTGAGTTTTCATTTTTCCCTGAATTACATCCAGTATCTGTGTTCGCTGAGGTGTGATATGTGCAATGAGAACGATTAATCTGGAACTGAGGCATTGGCTAATTCCTTCTCTGAGGGCACAGGGGACAAGACTGAGCTCATTTTTGTTGACATCATTAGGATATTTTCCCTGGTCATGTTTCCTGAAATGTGGAGACAAAGCAGAGAAGAGCCTGTGCATGTCAAAGCGACTTTGAAGGCATTCAACATTTTTGGTTTAAACATGGGGAACATATCATTTTGGTTGGGTCATAGCTGTCATAAACTCCTTTATATCTGGATTTATGGAGTCATATTCAGATGAAAATACTTTAATATGAACCAAAATTACAGTGTGTTAAACTGCATCATGTTTGTCTTCCTCTTAAGCCACTGTCACAGACGCGCAGTAGAAACCAATAATTTTTTTTACGAGTGAGTGAAAACAATTGGCAATATGCCATTCAGGCTTCCAGAGCAGACGAAACATGCCACGACGTCTGCCTGCTAAAGGCCTGGAGACTCTTGACAGATGTTTATCGGTGATGTGAGGAGTTGATCGCAGCTTCTGGATCAATGCTGACAGCTACTGTATGTTTGAGTGTCGGCTATGCCATGTGATTACAGGGCATACTTTAAATGTTTGCGCAAGCTCTTCATACAAAGCATCACATAGCACAAAGACAGACATTCCTATAGAACTGGTACCCATATCCCACATTTGCAACATGAGGAACCCTAGTTGTGGTACCTGTATGTGTGTTGTCTTCAGACATAGCAACGCAAGCTAATTACCATCGAGCTAACCCTTTTGAATATATTTGAACTTATTAATTGCCTTGAAAAAAGGCCTTCATTCATCTCCGATCTCTTTAATTCCACTGAAAGCATTTGTCTTGGGAATACAGGCAGACAACAGTATCTGAGAGTAAGGGATCATAAAAACATAAACACATAATCCAGAAAGAGGAAATTCAGCCTAGGCTGAAGTAAAGACATGGGAATTTTCTAATATTTGGACATGCAGCACCAGGTTTAAGTTAAACACAGCTGATCTGAATCTTTAAGAAGTAGTGGAGATTTGATCTTCAAAAGATTCAGATTGTCTAAAGTACTTTAATAAGAGAGGATAGAGGTGGTTAGAAGCACCTTTCCACTTAAAAAAAAATGCGTGGTAGCAGACTGTGTTCTTTCCTCCGCTGAGGTCTGTGTACTCTTTCCTCCCACTCCATTACACACACTTCACACCCACCCACATCCCACTGGAGACAATGGTAACACAGCACAGGTTGAGATAATGTATTTGTGTTGAACTCCATCCCAATGAAGGAAAAGAAGAGATCTTTGTATGTGGACGGCCCAGCTTGTTTTTGTTGTGTTTGTTTGTATGGAGATTATCATCACGTCCGGTCCAGCTTGTTCCAGAGGAATGTTGCTTTAAAGAAAGTTATCTGCTTTTATTTCAGAGGCGTAAGATATGCAGAAATGGTTCAGCGGTGGTAACGTCTCTCTCTGTTTCCCTTCTAGACGCCGCTGCCGGAAGCCCTCGGTCCAAAGGACACAATGAAGCAGGTGTGTATGCCAGAGATGTGAGCTATGCTTCGGTACGTCTCCTCCCCACAGCCACAGGAGTACTTCAGTGTTCCCAGCGGTGTTTTTCAACTCCTGCTGAAGATATTAAGAGAGACAGTGTCAGAGGAGGAGCAGGATACCAGCAGGTTTTAACCCTTAAAGTTCCTTTGGAATACATTTTAATCACATCCTTCTCGGGCTGATTGTTGTTTAAACCCCAGTATCCAAACTAACACTGACAAAACTTTTCAAATTATCTGATATTTTCTATTTAAAAAAAAACAAGCAACTAAAACATGATTTCTAATCCTGCACTTGGTGAGTATGCTAATTTTCAATTTATTTAATTCTTTGATTTTTACCCGACCCCGCCCCCCATGACTGTGTATTGTGCCATCACCACCAGCTGGTGTACAGTAACTACAGTTAGTAAGTAGCAGTTCTTGGTCTTTGTGTTTGAAGCAAATGGAAACCCCTATCCACAGCAGCTTTGTTACTATAAGTTTAGTAATAATATACATTTTCATAATGTAAAAGTAAGCAAATAAAATGTATGACAGAGCTGGTGCAACAGGTCACTGTTTTTTTTTTTTTTTAAGGAAACATCTGAATAAATATGCAGAGTCAAATATCAATCTGCTCGCCTTTTCCTGGGAGCTATAAGCGAGTACCGATGGAGTCCTTCACCATTTAGTTTATAAAGTTTGAGGTCTTTTTTCCATGAGCTTTGGTCATCAGGATGAAGCCGTGTGATATCTTTGGTCATTTTTTATTTATGACTTCTATGACTTCTATAATATTTGCATATAGGGTAAATCTGTGTCTCTGCTCATTATTATATAATAGTCCTTGACATTGGTCGGCAATGACCTTTTATGTTGAGTCTTTAAACAGTCACCAGCCTCGTGGTTTTCAGCTGCTCTGACCTCTGCTATTATCCAGAGTTGCAGTGTTCGCATCCTCTCAAACTGCTGATCTCGGTCCTTTGTTGTTATTATATCCTGCATTACTACTCAAGCGAGTCTTGGAAGAAAAAAAAAGAAACACATTCCTAGCGAGGCAAGCAGTCACAAGGAGTCTAAAGGGCACTTCAGGGTTCTCGGTTAATTGACCCTCTCCACCCTCCTTAGCCTTACCTTACCCAACCCAGGCCCCTCACACTGCTTTATCTCAGCTCCTCCAACTGTGTGTTAAGGGGGAGAATATTAAAAACACTGATAACAGGGTTTGACATGGAAAATGAATTCTGACTGGGTTCAGGGAGAGAGCATCTCTCAGCGCTAAAAAAAAAAAAAAAAGACTGGGGAGAGAATATAGAGAGTAATGGTGTCTGCAGGAGGCAGGTGTTGTTAACCTCTTGGAGCTTTGTTTGGTTGCTTAGCAAGTGTTGGCTCCAGTTTCTTAAAGTCACTAAGTAGTATCATACATTCTCATCTCTCTATACAAGATAGATCGTTTTTAATAACCTGTCTTATGGGAAACATGCAGTTTTCTTTTTCTTCAGACAAATGCACCCTGATTAGAATTTTCCAAATGTAATCACAAGCTTTATATCTACTGATCCTTGGGCACATTTCAAGATTCATTTGTCAATGCTATAACAAAAGTTTGACATGTTAACGACCTGATCTAAAAGGGCTGGAAAAACACATTACACTTATCAGTCATGGGGTTTCAGGATGGGAAAGTTGCCTTCAGAAACCGGCTCTTGTATTTTTCTCACGCAGCGAGAGGGGAGAAGTCAGGTATCTGTATTCCCCTCGTCAAACTCGCGCACCGTGTTCATCCGAAGCTGCTTCTTCTCACACGGCTCAGCCCACCGAGGTCAGCGAGAGAGCAAGAAACAGAGAAATGTCTCGCCTACAAAGGAGACAGAGTGGATCGCTCGCTGGACTCACCATCATTCCGTCCCACGATGACAAATGCATCAAAACAAACCACCGACTACACACTTTACACCCATTTGGAAAAATCTCCAATAGCTTTACAACTATGTTAAGCATCTATGAGTATTAGAAATGAGTAGCTTCAACAAATTAAACAGCAGCTACTCCTTTATTAGCAGCAGATTCATTCTGACAAATGATGACTCAAATGCAGGCTAATGTTCAGGGCTGCATTGCTGTTGTGTAGGTGACCCAGAGACATATATTAAAAATGAACATATCTAGGATCTTTAAGAGTTTATTACTAAAATTGCCTTAGAAAGAAAACGATATCCATTATCTATGCCGCTTTTCCCATTCTGGGTCAAGGGGGGCTGGAGCTGATCCCAGCTGTCATTGGACGAGAGGCAGGTACACCCTGGACTGATCGCCAGTCAATCACAGGGCTGTAAGAAGAGACTGTATAGGACTATAGAGGCCCTGTCCGACGGGGATTCAAACCAGGGTAAAGAAAATGATTTAAAGAATAGAATTTGATTGTGCTATAAAAAAAAAAAAGATGGTGTACACCATTGATCTTTTAGAGGAAGGAAGAAGGAGACAAAAATATGAAAAAATATGAAATTTCAAATAGTGATGAAGGCCATTACATCCTTCTTCAAAGCAAACAGCCTTTCTGTTGGTGTAAGCGTATCATTTTCTCATAGCAGACTGTACAGGTTGTTCTGCAGCTGTTCTATACTAACCCTGCAGAAAAAATATTTGCAGTCATTTTTGATCATAGGTAAAGGTCATATAAGTCTGACAGTGAAAGCTAAACCCAGTGTGATTTATTATACGTTACATCAACAGTCTTAAAGCACTTTTTGACTACAGACTGTTAAATGTAAAACGGCTCAAAAGCACAATAGACTCCAATCATAAAATGGGTTATGACTGTCAATTCAAACTTCACAGATGGAGTTGCACATCACTGTCGGGAATCAAACTCTAGCTGTGTGTGTATTGTACTGGAAAGGTGTTTGCAGTGTAATTTGACGCAGTGGGAACACTTGCTTTCTGAGATGGCATGATTAGCTGGCCTACATGCAGACAATAAACAAGTAGCACAAGCACAGTATGCTGAAGAGATCGAGAAGTGAAGGAAAGGAAAATAGTTCGGTTTTCTGCATTCAAGGGCCCCAGTGAACTATTATAACGTTTGAAATTGTTTTCACAAGGACAGGGTTAGGTAATGGAAACATTTCCTAATCAAGAAAATCAGTTTTGTTGACATGTCTGAGAATGTGCTGGGAGTCCCAAGGGAAAATTGGGCACCATGAGAATACTGGTGACCTCCTGAAAACATAACTCAAGATGGGCACAGCGGATACTTTGGGCACATTTACTCTTGTTGATGACAGTTCTGGGAACAGGCTGATAGAGGACATGATAGGTCGACATTTGTACAGTACTTTGGAACCCACGGTAATTAGTCAAGGTAGTTGTATCTGTTACAATTTGCAGCCCTCTGTGAACTTGGATGTAACGAGCATGTGTCGTGGCCCCAAGTCAAGGTGAAAGGGCAGATGTTGTTGTTTGCGTCATCAAGGCACGGGTAGGAGGGTCAGTGAAAGGTCAGAAGGCGTTTTAATCTCCTGAATGAGATGGAGAAAACTAGGGGGGGGCGGTTCTTATTAAACACTATCTCCCTTTGAAGCCTGCTATGTAGAAAGAAAAGCGATAATATGTCATGCAATAAATAAACACCTTAATTCTACAGTTCATATGCCTTTCTGCTAAAATGTTGTCCTTCCTGACTCTGAGAGACATTCAAATAGCAGAAGGGCTGTTCTTCACCAGCCCAGTCTTCTTGCTCTGCTTTTCTGTCTTAGCTATCATGCTTACTAACTTCACACTTGCCACCCTAAGACGTCCACTTATCTGAAGGTTATCTCCATTAACAGACTCAACCTTTGAATGCAGACTCTAAAGGCCAAGACTAGACATGACTTATGGGCGAAAGGTTTCCATTTGTAGTCCAAGTATAATTGTCCACTAGCTTCTTAGCTTGCAGGAACATAGTCTGTGGGAAGCGAAAGAGGGCATACACAATCTGCTTTAATGGGAGCCCTGCACACATCGGATCACCTGCTGACAATGATGCCTTTCAATTCATTTCTACAAATGAGCATGTGCATGAAAGTGCACATTACATTCCCAACATGTTGTCTCTCAAACCTAACTTCATTCCTTCTTCTCAAGTTGCTAATCCAACTGAAAACATGCAGAGCACCTAAAAAGAAGTCTTGAAATAATTTTCTTTATTGCTAGCTGCTGGTTACTCCAGAAACCCCCAAAAGTTGGCGGTTCGTCCCATAGGCCACATTGTCTCCTGACGATAGTTTATGGGTTCAGGGATTTATCAGAGGGTAGCTTACAGTGCATTTTATATAGGTTTGCATGCTGAGTTTGCATGCATTCCACATTCAACTAAAATGGTTCTTCCTATATTTGTATTCTGGCAGTGTTTGTGTAAATGGGTTTATTGCACCTGTTCACTTTGGGATGATTCACGGTGCAGCCCCATTTCCTTTACATGCGCTCTCTTCATAAAGAGAAAACTTCATCATTAACTGGTCGTTGTCGAGTCCTGTGAGCATGTCAAGACCACCACCTTAGGCAAACAGCAGAGCCGCGAGGAAACGACAAAGAACAAACATGCAACTGTCTGAGTCACTCGTGCAATCACAAGACTAAATGCAGGAGATGTGAGGGAGGGAGCCAGGAGCAGAATTAAGCTTGAGTTCATCATTAAAAGAATAAATGAAATGTTGTTTTTGGGGGTTTGATTTGTTTTTGAAGCAGTGGCATAGCATGCTGCGTGAATAGTACAGCCGCATTGCAGGCACAAACAAAGCACATTAGTGTTACATAATTCTTTCTGCATCGGTGGCTTACAGGTTTTGCACCGCTGTCTGCAGTCTTTTGGGGTTTTGTGAGCTGTGTGAATGCGTGTCTAGAGGTTGAGGTTAGGGGGGTGTAGAGGGGGAAAGGAAATTTACAGTGCTAAGGGTGGTCGGAAAGTGAAAGTGTGCCACTGCTGCTTTTCCGTCTGAAGAATGAGTTGTAGAGGCTGAGAACTCAGGGGTGTGGGAGAGTTTAACACAGCCATTTTTACACTTTCCCACCTCTCTGCAAACCCCACACACACACACACACACACACACAGCACATTACACTCCAACACCCACAGAAATCTCCACTCACGCTGTTGACGTACATGGCATGCCACATTATCTCAACACTGTAGGAATAAAGTCCTCTCTCTTTTTTCAATCACACTTGTTTGTTGGATGCCAACACACGAGTTGGCTGCTTCAGTAAACACGACAGCTTGTGTTACTACCCTCCTTTCTCCTTTCTCCTTTCCCGTTCTTCATATCCTTAAAGGGAACACAACTCACATTCATCTTTGGGAAGTTTTAATACTTAATCTTCTTTCTTTTTATGTTTTCTGAAGTTTCTTTCAGATCGTGTTGTAAAGGCAGCGAGATCAGTGTACAGCGTCATGATCGAGAGGAACCCCGGTCTGATCCGAGACAGAAAATATCACCTGAAAACATACAGGTGCTCATACTAGTGGCAGGATTTCTTCAGTGTCAAAAATCGCATACAATGTCTACAGAAGCATGCAAAGTCACATGTTCAATGTCCCTCACAGACAGTGCTGCTCGGGTAAGGAGCTTGTCGACTGGCTGATGAAGCAAAATGACGGCCTGCAATCAAGATGCCAGGCTGTGGGAATGTGGCAGGTCCTGGTGGATGAAGGAATCCTTGTACATGGTAAGAACTAAAGAGCTGCCTGGTGGGTTGGTGAGCCCCCCCCCCATGTACAGAGGCTTAGCACTTGAGAGCGAGTGGCCCGGGTTCAAATCCGGCCCGTGGCTCCTTTCCCGCATGTCGTTCCCCACACTCTGTCTCCAAAGTATCTGACTCTATCTCTAGAAAAAAAAAGCCATAATTTGTCCAAAATAAGTCTTAGCTGAAAACAAAGGCCATGTTAACATCCTAATGTATTCACTGTTATTTATATTAACTGTCAGTGTATCATGAGGAACAGTTTTATAATAAATCCAGTCATATTCTTGTGTTTTTTCCAATAAATTTATATTCTGATAATGATGTCTTGAAAGTTTTCTTGAAGCCCTTAAGAAGCTTGAAATTTGGTGTCTGGGCCCGCCAGAGCAGATGTTAGACAAAGTGTCCTCATTCAGTCAAGTGGTCACTAATTCACAGCTTCTGCTGTCTGGATTGGACACAGTCTACCCGTAAGAGACCACTCCAATCAGGATGTAAGAGCTCCATCATCACACGGAGGGGATTGCTCACAATAGATTTGCACTCATTTCCATGTATCTGTATTTTGTAAAAAGGAACTTTAAGACAGTTGAATTCCACTAAAGATCAAAATGCATTCAATTATTCCCCATTTTTAAAGGTAATCACTGCATTTTAGATTCATTTTCATGCAATCACTCTAGTATCTCGAAGGGTCAATCCTCTTTAGGTGTAATTCATGTGGTTTCTCTGTTTTTTTTTTTGCCTCACTCTAGTGAAAAATGAGGTGAACTTCCATGACAAGGACACCCAGTTCTACCGCTTCCAGGACTCTGAGTGCATAAAAGATGAGAAGGACTCAGAAGAGGAGCTGCAGGAGGGTCTGTCGCTGCTGTCTCAGCTCGGTCCTGACGCTCTGCTCACCATGATTCTGCGCAAAAAGTCAGTATGTCAAACCTCTGAACGCATGAAAAAATATGTCACATGTAGTCTTACCAAATTCTATGCTTACAAAGTTATCACATATGACAGTTTGAGGTTTAAGTTCTGTGATTACTTACATGTGTCCTCTCTGTGTGTCTCAGTCCCAGTCAGAGGAGCGCTGACGACCTGGAGGTTATCTATGAGGAGCTTCTCCATGTCAAAGCTGCAGCTCATCTCTCCACCTCTGTAAGTCTGTTACAGGCTGCTCATGACATCTGTGTCATAATGATTGAAGTCACCAATAGTAGCGTTTTTGTAGTTTTAAAATGATTTTAAATGTGGAGGACTTTGGGTGTAGAAAGTGAGACAGTCAAACAATTTGACTGCAGTTCAGAAGCTTAACATCATCATTATTATTATTTCATTTAATCTGATACAAGAGCGACATTTTAATGTATTTTATGGGCCAGTTGTCTTTATAGTAGCTGTGTATTTCCAGAAAATAATCAACCAAATAATGCATGCTGTTTCCTCTGATTCTTAGACTACTATTACTATGCAGCTCAGTGTAAATGTTGCCTTGTTTGTGCTGCAGGTGCGTAAGGAGCTGGCGGCGGTGCTGGTCTTTGAATCACATGCCAAGGCCGGAACAGTCCGTGAGTGTGACAGCTCTGCTGACGCTTGAGCTCTGGTGGTGGAGAACCTTGTTTACGCACACAGATTTATTGTGTAGTAAAAAAGCACACTGCGGTACACTGCTGCTCTGATGTGCACAAACCCCATGTCACAGTCCTGGATGCACAACAAGCCTCCATGATTAGAATAGTTACCGAAGCATGCACCACATGAGGAATATTCAAGCTTGCTCGTGTCATGATCTATTCATTTTAACAGTGGGGGGCGATCATGTGTCCTTATTTTCTCCTCTCATCTCTCGCTCGGCCCCATCTGGTCTTGAATATGAAATGACTAGATACGTAATAAAACTGGTGTGCAGTAAACGTGGTCTCCATCCAATTATGAGTGTTTACACAGAGACACGTGTGAATGACATATGTTGGTGTTGACCTTTTTTCTTTTTTTTGTACGCTGTAGTGTTCAGTCAGGGCGACAAAGGGACGTCTTGGTACATCATCTGGAAAGGATCTGTAAATGTGATCACACACGGGAAGGTAAATGAACTAGCTGCAATAATAATCAGAACTCATATGAATGCCTTTGTTTCGCAGTATAACGATGAGTGATGCGTTGTGCATGCAGGGTCTGGTGACCACGCTACATGAAGGCGAGGAGTTTGGGCAGCTCGCCTTGCTGAACGATGCACCTCGCTCTGCAACGATCATCCTGAGAGAAGACAACTGCCACTTCCTGCGCGTCGATAAACAGGACTTCATACGCATCCTCAAGGTGTGTTTGTGCTAACTAATCACTAATGCGTGCAGTGTTAACGTGCATTAAGGCCACGTGCGACTGTATAAACACTGCAGGCATGTTTGTCTCTGATGAACCGCAAACTCAGGTCTACACAAATATGTATCATGCTCAGGTTGTCAAACACATGTGTGCGTGTGTTGTTCTATAGGATGTGGAGGCAAATACAGTGCGACTAGAAGAGCATGGGAAAACCGTGCTGGTGTTGGAGATGAACACGGTCCGGGCCGAGCAGGGAGGAGCCGGAAACAACTGCAAGTGAGGACTTACATGACGCACATGTCTCAGAGGTTCACAACCATTATGATGCTTATCCTGAGTGGGGCAGATAATGTATTATTCAAATAACTCAAACACTGGTGTTGTTCATCTTAGCATATTGATAGACGAGCGTGCGGATACTTTAGTTAAACGTGGTTAAGTTCTCAATACTTAGACTGTCTCAGAAAAGAGAGGAACCAACCTTTCTTCACAGCATGAATTCGTATCAGCTTTTTTTTTTTTTTTTAAGTAAACATAGTAATGAATTAACATGACCTTCCAATTAGGTCAAACACAAAACCTACTTTACCTTAACACTCTTCACTTGCACGGCTGCTCACACAAACACTACCTACTCTTTTTGTATTCACGCTAACAAAAAAACAAGATGGATTATCTGAAGAGCCCAACAAAAAACAAGATGGATTATCTGAAGAGCCCAACAAAAAACAAGATAACATGTTTTTTTAAAAAGACACTCAAGCTTAGCATTAATAGAACTACGTTGCAAATACAGTAAATGCTCTTTATAGTCTAACCATGAATATAGGATCTGTAATGGAGCATTCGGCACTTTCACTTAATAATATGTACACACCAAGTGTTGTGACAACCAAGACACGACACTACAGGACTCAGATCAACTGCTCCTCTCTGTTTCTTCTGTGTGTGTGTGTGTGTGTGTGTGTGTGTGTGTGTGTGTGTGTGTGTGTGTGTGTGTTTACTCTAACTTTTCCCAGGACCTCTAGTTTTTATTTCATTCCTTTTGGCAAATGTTAGCATGCTAACAGACTAAGCTAGGATGGGTTAGCAGACAGCTAGCATACTGCACCACAGTCCATGCACATTCTCACACAGGCTGCTAGCTTGACTGTAGTCTTTGTTGAGTTCCAGCTCACTACCTCTCATTTTTTAAAACAAATTGCTCCCTCAGTGTTTTTTAAATGAATTTAAAAGAACTATCATTTGATTGATTGATTGATTGATTGATTGATTACATTTATTTCAGACATATCAAATAAAATCAAACATATCAAAAATACAAAACAAAATGAAAAGCACGAAAATACAATAAACAAAAAACAATGTTTAAATTATTTCACAAAAAAAGTAAAAGAAAAAGCAAATTACATATATTCAATTGATATGTCTGAAAAGGAGTAGGAAGAAGTATAAAACTTATTTAATCCTAACCCTTTTCCACAACTCAATAATTAATATTTATTAAATTAAATTAACTTCCTGTGTCCTTATAATCAATCTAATTGTGGCTTTTGATTTGGGCTTGGGCTTTGAAACTGATGAAGGCAATCAAAAAGTATGGAAACCAGTCAAAGGGAGGAAGTGAGACAAGAAACACCGGGGACAAGAACTACATAGTAAAACAGGAAACACTTAAGACAAGACAAGGGAAATGCAAACAGGTACATTTAGAAACATGAGGAAGGGAAAGACAAAATAAAAGTAAAAAGGCTAAAATCTAAACCCAGAAATATAAACAGACAAATACCCAGGAATCAGAGAAACACAAGGATATATGACTAAATAAACTGGAAATTTAAAAAAAAAAAAACAAGGAAAAAACAATTTAAACAAAGGTAAATGATGGGATGTTACCCTCAGAGATAAGCCTGCAGAGAAATTAAAATGAAAGCGAGGTACTACAGTGTTTGCATGAACTCACATCTCCGCCCTGTCACGCTCTGTGCAGGTACACAGTTATGTCAGGAACACCTGAGAAAATCCTGGAACACCTGCTGGAAACAATGAAGCTGGACTCCAATGGAAATGACGCTATAGGTAGGATCTTTTTCCTGTTTTTACTCAGTGATTCAGGATGGTCAGACGTAGTTAGCTTGTAAGTTATCATCATTGTTTTTAATGTTTATCTTCCCTCAGATCCCTGTGTGAGCGACTTTCTGCTCACCCACAAAATCTTCATGCCCTCCAGTCAGCTGTGCCCCGCACTCCAACACCAATATCCTGCGATGAAAAACAATCATGCACAATAATGAGAATGACGCTGATGATGACTCTTAGTTTGTACAAATGTATATGTTATTGTCCTTAACCGCCATTGCACCTACCGCGCAGAGCTCTGTGAGGGTTCAGATCTGGAGAAATCCTCCTACATCCTCAACACCAAGCAGAAGGTAGTGAGTCTGATATGCCAGCTGGTGTCGCTGTATGGCCTTCTGCTGAAAGAAGACCCTTTTGCTTCGGATTTCCTGGAGGTGAGGTTGCTGGCTTGATTTGATTGCATTGCATTTTGATTGTTTTCTGTGTTTTTTGGAATATTTCCAGAGAGAGAGGAAAGAATTGATTTATAAGGATTCATTAATTACATTTCCGCATTATATAATCCATGTGCCTGAAACAGAGGTTGAAGAATGAGGTAGCAGCTGATTTCCGTCTGTCCAACATGCTGAAAGAACAATTTAGGGACAAGAGGAGAACAAAAGTGTAAGTTGGCTTTATTATCTTAGAACATCATGCAATTTCTCCAGCATTTCTCAGTCCATCATGCAATATTACTCATCTTTCCATACTTTTTTACAGATTAGAGAATGGATATCAGTCCCTAACCAAGGTGAACAGAATACTATCAGATATAGTTCAATGAGAAAACAGTTTAAATATCAAGTCGTCATTTGTCAGTTTTTTGAATGTCACTGACTTGCTGAGTCACTCTGATGCTATCGACAGATCCAGAAATTTGATTGGTTTTCACACTGTGAGGAGCCAGCGGGGAGGTTTCAACCAATCAGAGGGCAAGACAAAGGTGAGTGACTTAAACAATCCAATCAACTGAATCAGGAAAAACTGTATGTTCATCTTTGAAATGTAATCAACTTGTTCTGCTCTATGTCACATTCATAGTTACCTCACATTAACTCTTGTGTCTGTGGGTGTTGTTTATGAGTAGTTCTTTTAGCCACACATCCAGTTGCACATCATCAATCATTGCATCAGCACATCTTGACATTTCAGCATCTGTGTCCTGTCTGTACAGTTCTGTATGAGCTCTTCAGACCAGACAAAAAACCTCTCACCCTGATGCTCCCAGTCAACTCGTCTGTGCAGGAGGTGATGTCAGCGGTAGTCAAACCTGGAGGGGATCACATTCTGGTCAAAATGAACTCAACAGGAGGTAGGACTTTGAAAGTGATGACACTTACTTAAATATAAGTAGTATTGAAACCCTAAGAAGCAGGAGGGGGGATGTTTTTTCCTCTGTTTATTAGTTAAGAACAGTTTAAAAAAAAAAAAAAAATTGACTTGAAATTCAATCCTTTCATTCAATGTGAAAATGGTTCAAGGCTTATCATGTTAGATAACTAGCTATGATAATACATGGTTTGGAGCTACCTTAATTATGGATTGAAAGAAGAATGTATAACTCACCTGGAGTAGAACTGGAATTATTTCAGCTCTGTAAGAACATGTGGTAGTTGTGACCCTTGTGGCCAAAAAGTGAATTACAACATCAGACCTATTTAAAAATGTGCCAGGTTTTTTTTTTTTTTCACTTCCCAAACTTTTTCTTTCACCTGTTTTCACAGCCCTAAATCATAATCATAGCAACATTGTGTCCACTGTTTCTTTCTACAGATAAAATATATGTTGAATATCTCACAAAAACATTTAATTTCCCCTGTTTTTAAGTCATAAACACAGGAGATCTTGCCTCTTAGGGCTCCCGTTGAATACACTGTTTTTCATTGAAAACTGCTGGCACTCATAACAGTGTTTTGATAAAGAGTTCAGAGCCGCTAATTAATTATGGTTTCCAATCTAGCCTGACTCATGCTCATTAATTTTTCAGCGTTATTTCTCAGTTCATTGAACCTAAAATGGGTTTTTTGTTCTGTTTAATGCACGCAGAGAGAGCTCAGTTAAAGCTGGATGCGTCAGCGGTCTACACCGCTCTGGGACTCAACGAGAGACTCTTCATCTGCACAAGCAGCCAAGTGGAACATCTGGTGAGGCATCGGTGCATCTCATACCTTTCCATTTTGTAGAATCAAATCCGAAATGTCATCACTTCAGACTTCATCCAATTAGTTCATAATCAGTTATGCAGAGCTTAAAATATAGTGGATTCATTTAAAGCACTATAATTTTTTAAGAAAGTCCCCAAAGGAACAACCCAACACAACTTTGCCTCTCTCTCAATCTAACAGATTCCCCTGGAGGAGCAGCAGGGACCAGAGCAGGGGTCAGCCGACATCCTGGAACAGATGGGCTCTAAAGACATCGCCAATGAGCTCACCAATCATGACTGGGAACTTTTTAATGCTGTGCACGAGGTAACTCAGCGGAAATGACATCATTCCATGGCAGTCCCCGGTGTGGTTGAACCTAGACATCACATGTTGAGTGACCCCCCCCCCACCCTTCCCATGCCCAAAAAAGCCAGCAACACCAGTCAAATTCAGATTTAAAGCAGCAAAATTCATTTTCTTCGGGGGTGAGATAATGGCCAAAATAACAAAAAAAAGACATTAAACAAATGACAGTTATGTTACCTGACCTCCGATTCACAAACAGGAGAAAACTAGTGAACAAACAAAACGGGGTAGTCACTCCTACACGTCTGCTAAAGTGCTCAGTGTTAACAATGTCTTACAATTAATCTGTTTACAAAAGTACTGACATGCTAACTGTCACTAAATCTATCAGAATCTAACACAGTCTGAAATATCAGCGCTACACAATTCACACACACACACACACACACACACACACACACACACATACACATACAGATCAAAGGGCGATTTAGACACTAATGCTGGTTTTGTTAGAAGTGAGAGGTGAAGGGGCCGAGCAGACTGCAGCAGCTGAGATTTTAAAAAGCTGTGATGTCAGGATTGATCCAATCGGGAAAAAGCAATCCAAGTTGCACTGATCAATCAGAGGGAGCACCTGTATCCAGACCTGATTGACAGACACACACTGCTGGGGAGGAGACAGAGCTGCACATATACCAAAAGAAACATGATCAATAAACAACATGACCCAAAAAAAACAGAAGAAAAAACATTTTTTATACCTCATCAGAGCTTAGCTAAGGTAGTCTGTCAGGTGAGTAAAGCCAAAGGTTAACCTGCCATTCAGAGTTGACTGTTTTTATCTGACAGCCATCAGATCATCTGGCCGTCCTGTACGACACTTCCTGCATGCTTCACATGTTTCTGAAGCAAAGCACATTAATTAAGTCACCTGTCCTCTCTCTCTCGCTCTTTGATTTACAGTTTCTCTTTCACAGATGTGTGTACTTACTGTGAGCGTTGTGACTCATTGTCCCCGTCTCTCCAGGTGGAGCTGATCTATTACGTATTCGGACGCCACAAATTCCCCGGTGCCATCACAGCTAACCTGGAGCGGTTTGTGCGTCGCTTCAACGAGGTGCAGTACTGGGTCGTGACCGAGCTGTGCCTCTGTGAAGACCTGGTGAAACGAGCTGTTCTGCTCAAGAAGTTCATAAAGATGGCAGCAGTGTAAGAGATAGAGCAATGTTTTCATGTTATAATGGTCAGGTGGTCCACCACTTTGACCAGGACTGACATATCTCTACATAATCTATGTTGGATTGGCATCATTTCAATCATAAACAGTCCATAAGGGATGCTGGTTTCCTCTAGAAACACCATGAGGTTGATATTTGGGATTTTTGAGGGACATGTCTCAAAACTAATGATGATGACCATGAAATGAAACAAACGTTCATGATCCAAACATGTTGTCACTTCAGAGATCTTTTGACTTTTCATGTGGCTTTGTGTAGCTTATTTTTCCAACATTAATCCATGACCAAATATACCATTCCTATCAGGCAATGTTGTGTTTACTGCTTCACGCTAACTAGCAACATTAGCATGCTAGTTAGTTAGTTAGTTAGTCATGCAGACACTAGTTTATGACCAAATACCTAACTAAAAACTAACAAACATTTCAGTTTAAGTTTGACTTTGTTTTTAGTTTGTGTCAGTCATTAGCAAATGTTAGCACACTAACTAGCTTACCCTTCATGTTGCAGTGTCAGAATAACCAGAATATAACTTTCAAACACAGCAAAATGTATTGCAGTCTTTCTCAAGTCCAAGCAAAGTTTGAGAAACATGCTATACAATATTTGCTAAATTGACAGACTTGACGTTGAAGTGTGCAGCATAAATATGCTAGTAAAACGTAAATGTTGGTGCCATATACAATTTCTAAGTCCTTGTATTAAATATCAATTATTTTAGCTAACATTTAATTTGTGATGTAGGTTTTAGTCATAGTCTCTAACCGTGTAAAATGACCCAGATTAGCTCTGAGTTACATAATAGAAATGTCGTAGTAGCATCCACAATGATTCTAGGCATTGTGACTTAATGTTTATGGACATACTATGTCAGAAAAAACATGTTTCAAATCAGGAAATGGCATGCGGTTGCAGGGTTAATCTCTTTTCTGTCACTTTGACCATGTTAGCATGCTGATGTTAGAATTCATTTGCTAAATGTGGCTAACATATCTTCATGAACAACACTGTCAGCCTTAAAGCTTAAAGTAGAAAACCCTGTGTCCTCTCCGTCACAGATTAAAGGAGCAGAAGAATCTGAACTCATTCTTCGCTGTGATGTTCGCTTTGAGCAACAGTGCAGTGCAGAGGCTCTACAAGACCTGGGAGGTGAGGACCCCCTTGAATGCAACAGTCAAGATTATATTAAATGTCATCTCAACGTTTACTGAACAATATTTCTGGTGATGACTCATGCAACAATGTGCTTGTTATTGTCTGTCACAGAGAATACCCAGCAAGACCAAAAGGATTTACTGTGCGTATGAGAGGCTGATGGTGAGTTATATTGTGGGCTTTCATTTCAGCAGACTGGTCGATGTATCTACTGAAAGAAAGGCAGGATTTTGATAAGTTATGTTGCCAGAGGATTAAGTGGCAACATAACTTAACAACAGGGTAGATACATGACAATATGTCGTTATAGTTATACAAATGTAATGTTACAATTGGTGCTCTCTACTGTTAGGACCCCTCACGGAACCACAGGGCCTACAGACTGGCTGTGGCTAAACTCAGTCCTCCCTACATCCCCTTCATGCCTCTGCTGCTCAAAGGTAACACACACATCAGCGGTTTTGTGTCTTCAGTATACACAAAACAGTAATTAACTGATAACCGACAAGTTTCCTTTTCCCGTCTATTCTCAGATATGACATTCATCAATGAGGGAAATCCAAACTATGTAGAAAAACTGGTCAACTTTGAGAAAATGGTGAGACAGAAAAAAGTGTTGGTGCCATTGTTCAGCTCAATTATTCAAATCAATATCAGACTGTCTTTAAATATTTGTTTGTCCTCCTTTCAGCGCATGATTGCCAAGACAGTGAATAGTGTACGAGGATGCAGAAGCCAGCCTTATGGTGAGGGATTCAGTTTGTTTTTGACGCACCGGCGGTGTTATATGGTTGCTTGGTTTTTGGCTCTGACTGACGCATGCAGGATATATTCAGTACATTAAATGGAGCGTAGCATTAGTTCAGGCAGGTCTGATAGCTCTACTATCATGCAAGAGTTTCTGGAAAAGCTTATCTCACGCAAGCCCCGTCAGCTGATGGCCAGCTGATTTGCTTCAAAGCATCCTATTGACCAAATAGTACTTATGCCACCTTATTTAAACTGCTCCAGACCGCCTACTCATTGCTGCTCCCTCTGCAAGCTGTATGTGCAACCCTCCTCCACCCCACCTCCTTTTATGCTGTTCTGACTTATCAGTGTCATGGTTGTCATCGATGCCTGCTCTTGTTTGGGTTTGCTGCTTATCGCCCTGCCTTATGATTTCCTTGTATGCACGGGAAGGGCTGGGAAATCCCAGACGAGATGAGATGAGATTCAGCTTTATTGTCATTACACATATACAAGTATAGAGTAACGAAATGAGGTTTGGCATCTCACCAGAAGTGCAAATAAGCAGAAACAGAGACAGAGACACAGAGACAGAGCCAATACCGCCAAACAACAATTTGCAATAAAGTAATTTACTTGACAAAGTGATCCTGACTGAACTTCTGTTTCTCTCCTGCAGTGGCGTCATCTCCACAGAGGGGCCTGGCAGATCGGATGTTTCTGGAAGTGCCTGCAACTCGATTATCTACATGTAAGCCACCTGTACATCTACGATCGCTTTAACTGTAATACCCAGTTGTAATATCACCTTTTCACCATTTTCAAAGGTTAACATGTCTTGAATGATTTCTTCTTCTCACCCAGACTCGGACATCACCCTCCCTCTGCGTAGTCCGAGCAACATCAGACTCTACATCTCCAACCTGAAGGTGATCGACAGCCAGCGCAAGCTAACGCAGCTGTCGAGAACATTAGAATGAAAGGAACGTCTCACCTGCTGATGTGCAGAGGCTGTAAAACTGTAGCACAAACCTGAACCACAGAACTGATTGCAGTGGGATGAACAAAAGCTTCTACGCTGGATGGACCTCGGCTTGGACACAGACCGATGAACTTTCAGCAGGAAACAGTTTCGAGAGTGAAAATGTGCGGTGTACACAGTAATGACCTCTGAGGGTGAACCAGAGAATCCAGTGTTTTTTATTCATGGGATACTTAATCCAGTGAGGGTCATTTTTAAAACCTGTACAGTGTCAATATTGTGTCAAAACTTTTATACAGCTATCTGAAAAAGAAGGACTCTGGTGGTTCTGCATAAAAGGGCCACAGGAACACATATCAGATATATTTCACAAACCATCACAAACCACTTAAGGTCATTTTTTTGTGCACTAGTGTTTACACATTAAAACTAATATATTGTATGAGACCTTTAATTGGCAACAATGCCATGAACTGACATGCATATATTTCATACGATGTTGTTTTATAAATAAATTATTTTCTCAGTTATGTGTATTTTAACCCTTTCATGCATGACGCATTAAAGACAGCAATATTTGTTTTTCACTTCTAAGGGCATGCAAAGTGACATCTTCTTTTCAATATTCATCACTCTGAGCAAGCTACTTGAAAGCCCTCTGTGGTCCAGAGAATCCATTTGAGTACTTGAAATTGAGTTTTGAAGTTTAACTCTCTTTTTATGGGAAAAAGATGCGATTGAGGTGATCAAACTAATTCAACAGCTTTTGCCAGGAGGCTGCGAGAATATCACAACAGCAGACATTTAATGGGAGAGCATGAATTTGATTTGAGACTTGAGCTCTGCCAAAAGAAACACACTGATGATAACTAACAGTACAATTATATAATGCAGTGGACTCCTTCTCTCAGGCAGGATCCAAAAAAAGTTTGTCGAAACGTTAGTCCTTTGCACCTTAATCTATTGGCCTTAATTGATTTATGTGCTCCAATACTTTCTTTGGATCCTTTCTGAGAGAAGCAATCCACTGAATTATACTTTGAATGTCTGAGGTCCCTCTCTGAGAGCATTGACCTCCATTTGTTGAGTGGCTGAAGTGCAAGAGTGCCCTACTTAACAACATAAATCCATTAATGTATATAAAAAAAAATTGAACTCCAGATGAAGTATTCTCAAGAACAGCCAAGTCAAAAACAATGTTGTTGATTGTAATTGAAATATAGCCAACAATGCATGACACCAAATTTAAAAAACAATGATAAATCCTAATTTTCTCCACGCATGAAATCAATAATCTGAAATGTTCCCAGGTTCATTGCTCCTTAGTTTGTACTTAATGTCACAAAAAATGATCACCCTAATGCTCTTCTACATCCCTGAGCAGCATGGCATTAGGCCATCAGAAGTTTGTGGTACACTTATGACATGTGGCCAGTGTGTGGCAGAATACAGGGTGAAGTCCACTGAAGTGGTTGATGTGCAGCCTTACCATCAAAACCAGTGTGTTTAGTAGAAGAGGCTTCTCAATAGCTGTTCACTGTAGTGACCTCTATGTGTGGGTAAATGAAAGCACAAAAGTTTCTAAAAAGGGAAATATTTTATTTAAAGTACAAACAATTACAAGTAAAAAAAAAAAAAAAAAAAAAAAACCAACAACCTCCCCCCTTGAGAAAATGTTCCCCCCAATATGGGGTGAGAAAAAATTCACAACAAATCAGTTTTTCCTTTGAATTCAAAAAAATACTCTCCTTGTCATAAATATGTACAACTTCTTTGATGGAAGTCTCCGGAGAGCGAAAATGTGTTTAAACATGTGAAATTAAATATAAAAACCAGTGCCTTCTCCTGATGTAACATGGAGGAAGAAGAAAAAAAATGTATCCCCTGTCGTTATAAATAATGGGCTGACATGTTCAGTTGAAAGAACAAACTTGACAAATGCAATGTTAAATGTTTTTTTAAATGAAAAACCAAATGGGGATTTTGTGGATCGTTTGACGAAATAGTAAATCACTGTCTTATAGGAAAGGGGGAAAAGAGTGTGATGAGGGAAACAAATGTTGAACATATGGTTAGTATCACGTTGGTGTTTGGACAGGTGCAGCTGCAGAGCGCATACAAAAAAATAGCCGATGATTTCAACATACCAGAGCTCAACTCAGATATTTGACTCTGCAGTTCTTTGGTTTCTGTGTCAGCCTGTTGTGTGGAAAAGCTCAGTACGATCAGAAAAGTGGTCCACCCGTGAAGTGGTGAGTAAGGTTGTCAGAAATGTCAAAACTTTTCGATACCTCGTGTTTTAAAACGATACAATCTGCAAGACTTTTTGATTAAAAAGCACAAAAGCTTTAAAAAAAGAAACATCTATTTCACAGGAGACACATGTGTAGGACAGATGTGAATCTGTTAAAAATTGCATGCAAACTTCTGCACAGTCTAAATTGCACAACTACATTGGCACCAATATAGCGCAATGTGTGCAGGAGCCTGATGTCTAGGACTTCTATTTTCTGTTGCCATGGTATCGAAACAGGTGTCAAAATAGTTGGATTTGAACTAGTATCATATCAAAGTTTAAAATTCTACTTTTGACAACCCTAAGTGGTGAGTACATCTGTAGTGGAGAGCAAAACAAATCACACTTAGTGAGAAAGCATGTGACAGTGAAAAAAGCTGAACCTCACACATGATTTTGATTGTGCTTATGACGGACAATGACACAAAATGTTCTATGGTTTTCTTTTTCACACGATAAAACATAAAAACAAAAGAAAGCACTGTTAAAAAAGAAAAAAAGAAAAGAGTGAATATAAATATTGCACTTCCAAACAACATTGAGTTCCCAGTGCCTAGTTGTTATCCCTTTGTTCGAGGTTCACAACATCCTGTTGGACGCTAAAATATCTGGACGGCAGCTTTTTTAAAAATGATTTCCACTGAGGTTCTTGGTATTATATTTGCTACCTGAATCATGAATATTGACCGTCTTTATGATATAATGAACATTAGGCACACAGAATGGCTTTACCTCTATCATCTGAAGCTACAGAGGTGACGGGGACAAACGAGACGAAGCAGTGGGACGGATAATAACCAGCTCATACCGAAAACAAACATTCATAAATATACCATTCACACAAATGCATGTAGTCACACTTACATACATGCAAACTCACACATCCCTTAACGCTAACCCACAGGCATGAAGTATTAACATTTAAGGCACATCAAATCTATGTACATAAAAACACAAAGCATTTACATGTTCAGTCCCTGCAGCCCTTTTGGAAGTGGGATTTCTGCCATTTCTAAGCTAAGAATAGGTCTTCTTTTACTCAGAAATAACTCGAGAGTACACAGCAACACACACTGTGACCTCAAAATGGATCCTTCCCACTTGAAAAGGAAGCATTGATCCTGCCTGCTCTTACAGAACAGCTGATTGTCCCCTCTTTGGATCAAGACTTCAACACAGCATTGCTTATAAATGTGTGGTTTTCTTTTAAAGTCATTTGCTTGCACGTGGGTTTCCAAATCAAGCAGGAGTCAAAACAGCAAAAAAAAATGCTCTTTTGCAGAAGCACCACAATGCTCCGAGGCCCACTGTGAGGTTCCACAGGTCTGTGGTGGTTCCAGTCCCCCATCCCAGTTGACTACGCTAACACTGGTAATTCTGAACATGAGCAAAAACAGGACAGAAATATTCCAACAAAATTCATTCATCAGTAGGAGTCAAAAATAAGAACTCAAAGGAAGGTCAGTCAGTCAGTCAGTCTCAGGTGTCTTTGGATTTAAATCAGTAGATTTCCTTTGAGTGCAAAAACAACCCAGCGCTGCCCACCAACCTGAGTGAGAGAGATCATTATCATGAACAGTTCAGAGACATCCATCCGTGCGCTTTTCTATGCCGCTTTATCCTGCTCATGGGTCGCAGGGGTGCTGGGTTAGCCTTTCCCAGCATGCATCAGGCAAGAGTAGAAGCAGAAAAGGGATTGAATTACGTAATACTTAAATATTAAACAAAAAATGAGTTATCACTGGATTCGGCCTGAAACTCTAGGCAGGTAATAAACCTCTGCTTTGGGCTGACTTTGCATTTTTAACTGAAACCTGTTTACTGATCTTCTGTCAATAAAACCCCGTGTTCAGGAGACACCAGGCAGATACTTTCAGGCCTCAGCTGGCAGCATAAATCACAGCTCCTGGCTGCCTCATGCTACATGTGAAAGCATCAGATCATTAGCACCAAAACAAGGCTAACACAGAACTCTCCATCACAAGAAACCACATAATGACACCCCAACAGGCGACTTGATTGTAGCCTGCGCCTCTACTGTAGTCACTTCCCACATGTTCAGTCTCATGTTAGCCTCGAGGCATTGAGAGAAAGTTCTGTTCTGGTAACAATCCCAACCTGCCATCAAAAACATAAATAAAAAAGAAAAAGAAACATTCATTTGGCTTGGAGAACTTTGGATTTTTGTCTCTTCTAGTGCAGCACAGTGGAGTTCCAGTGGTCTCTCTTTTGCGCAACTGCATCCTGATCCACTCTACATCCATCGAGTTTCTCCATTGCAATCATACGGCCATGTACTGTGGTTCCGTTCGCTCGCCTAGGCCTCGGAGGCAGCCTGTGGTTTGAGTTGAGCTTTCTCCATGGCCGTGCCGTACGGTAGAGACCTTTTGAAGAAGCCGAACTGCAAGAAAACATTTTTTTTAGACAAGCAGAAATTAGGAATAGGAACAGGACGCATCAGTTAATTTGAATGGTTATTGATTATACTATATTAAATAATTCCATGCATAAGCACTGACCTTGTATAGGACGTATATTAGCAGAGCCAGGAGCAGTAAACCAGCCAAAATGGCCAATATGATGATCCACAGAGGAACCGAGTTCTCGATATCAGGCTTGTTCCACACAATTGGGGTCACCACCTGAGGGCAAAAAAGGAAAGATGTTTTTCAGATTAACTCAACAGTTAAAATCAACAGGATCCTCCGTTTGAAGTAGGGCCACTGGGATGATTAACCAATGAATGAAAACAAACAAACAAAAAAAAATCAAAAGTACCTTTTTGTGTCCACTTGGAGAATGTTTGGGCAGGATGGCGTATGGCATCGTCTTCACGCTGTATCTGGACAGGCACTCCATCACATACTGCTTGTAGGATCTCTGAAGGAGCCAACAACACAAGGTTTGAAGAAAAAACAGACACATGCAGTACACCAGTTAAACACTAGGTGGCAACAAAGACTGTGAGTGTTCTTCAGAAGAAATTCACTTCAGCATTCCTATCGTGAGAGAGGCAGTGAAACTAGATCATGAATTTCCAGCGCATTCACAAATATGCCATGTGTTACAGCAGGCAGGGTGTTTAAACAGTCTGTAGCTAAAACATGGCACATATGACAGATTCCAAAAATTGCAGAATCTGCAGTCAGCTTCACTCAGCAACTGTTGTCACATTTGTTGGGACAGTTATGTGTCTGACCGTGCAGAAACTGGCAGCTCAGTTATTAAAAACAGATCCAGAATCAATGCTGGGGCCCAGTCAACATCAACAAATATGTGAGACCGACTGCTGCAGCTCTGTATCTGTGCCAGAACCACATTTAAGGTTTTTAACTCTCTGTGTTTCCTTCTTTGAGGCTAAATGAAGAACAGCTACTTTGTTCCTGCCAAGGTCTGACCTGAGAAAATACACAGTGACGTGTGGGGTGACGACTCTTTTATATTGAAGGCTTCTTCCTCAGCCTTCTCTTTGTTGTCTAGTGGTCACACGTGTAAATGAACAGTGTATGTGCAGCGAGAGTCATCTCTGACAAACCTCGATGAAAGTCTCGGCCCAGACGCGGGATCGCACTTTGAGGATCGCTGTAGTCCCCTTCTCCAGAAGACCGACTTTGCACTGCAGCGTCCAGCACTCAGCGTTAGAACAGGACTACAGGAAGAGAGAGAAAAGAGTTTACTTAATGCATGATAAGATTAAATAGTCATTTGGTTGCACACATGAAGATTATTCTCCACACAAAACCTAACCTGCAGGTGAAGTCATACAGAAAGTAAAAAAAATGTTTGAAGGGCAAATAACAGCCGTGTTAATGCTACATGTTGAATAAGTATAACAAAGAGGCCAATGTTATGATCTGTATTCCACGCCTGCTTCAAATTAGATTGAAGGAATGTCATGAGACTGTAAAAATGCAGCATGCGCCACTCTCCACATTATTGCCCAACCGCTGAAACCAACCCGTTTTCCCCAAGACTGTAGAATACTCAGTCTTAATTAGATCCCCATAATGCCGCTTGATACTTTTTACATTGTAAAACATGTGCAGACTGTGCTTCAGAGCTGTTGCTGCGAGCTCGACCACCAACCAGACACAGAGGTTTCAGAGGGTTTCCTGCGGGATCGCATTAGTTTACTTATTACAGCAAGTAGGGCAAACACAGGAGGAGAGGCGAGACCCTGCCTCATTCCTTCAGGCTCATCAGTCTAAGACTTAATGAGGGTATTCAAGACAGACAGAGAGCGTATCACTCCACTTCCTCGTGGTGGACCTCCCTGATGCCCGCGGGGACCGGGGCTGCTTAGGTCTCTGGAAATGACTCAAACATGGAGCGGTGCCAAAGATGCCTCAGACCCACATTTCCTCCCTGGTGGGATTATGTGGTCAAGATCTGGAGCTTCATGGGCCACAGAGGCTGTTCCCATAGATTGATCAAATTAAGTGTTGGCCTTGCTATGCAGCATCTGTACACAAAGGACCTGCAAAGGTTGACACTTTATAAAAGTGCTCAAAAGATGATTCTTTGAATCACTTGGTTTGAAGGATGAATCAACAAATCAGCAGGACATTATTGGTGCTGGACAGATTATTCATGAGCTGGCAAGCTGCAGCCATATTTCTAAAATACAATAAGAGAAAATCAAATCAACTCCTTATTAGAGTTTATTTCAAGAACCAGTTTTGGGAGCTCTGTAGGTCATATTTTGGTTGGTAAAAACCGTACAGGGAGTTTTTTTTAACTCTTCTGTTTTGATTATATTGAAGCTAACAGTCAGGCATTCATTTGCATACATTCTGATGTGATTGACAGGTGGAGGTGTCAGCTGTTTGCCACAAGGCTTGAGCCCCACCTCAGCTCCACGTCTCTGCCTGTGACTAGATTGATTGAAAGTTAGGTGAAGGTAGCATTTCCAATATGGGGACCTTTATGATATGTCTTCAGAAACCAATGGGTGACATCACTGAAACTACGTGCATGTTTTATACACTCAGTGGTTTCTCTGCAGGTTTTTCAGAACTGATCCATCCTCTGAAAAGATGACTTTTATGAACTCCTAAACAAACTGGCAACCCTAAGTACTTTCTTTATGTGGCTATCAAATGATCTATTCTCCAATTACTGATCATTGCAGAGCCATTGGTCACAACATAGAACAGAGAATGACATCAATGTGACATTCTCCATACTTACAAAAATCAACTATAACAACCCTGAGAGTATTGGAAAACCGTTTTTATAAAGTATCCTTATTATTAAAAAATGATTTTTGATGATTACTGCTGTTAAAGCTCGTCCTTTGTTCTTAATGCAAAGCTGAGCTCTTCAAAGACAGCAGGTCATTTTAAAAAGTCTCTCACTGTGACCTCATCTGACAGCTTCAACCAAGCACCGCTAAACTCCAACACACTTTGATCAGGAGACACTTTGAACAGAGATTTCTGTCCTCACCGGCGTTGAAAACAAAAAGTGCAGACTTGGGGAAAACGGGAGAATGGGGTCCTTCATGCTAACGTGCCGTTTGGACATGGGTGATAAACGAGCACAGTTAGAAGCGACAGGCACGGGGACAAAGAGCGCTTTGGTTGACGCAGGTATCCACAGACGGAGGCAGAGCGAGGAGCTACCTGCAGCTGGGTGGATCAATAGGGCCAGTGTGCGTGTGTGTGTGTGTGTGTGTGTGGGGGGGGGGGGGTGCTCAGGGGCCTCACAACACCCAGAGCTGAAAATGACAGAGCGGTCTGTGAAGTAACCATTGCTTCACTGTTAAGAATCCTCCTCTGCCCCCTCAGCCTCCTTACCCTACACCACTACTCAAGACTCTTTAATATTAATCACCACAAGGGGACCAAGCCTGTACCCTCTGACCCCTCCCTTTTAACGACATCATAACCTAATTAGCCAATCCCAGGAGCCTCATATAAGAACAGGGTCAGTTTGACCAAAATAGATGCAGACCTCTACACTTCACTTTAAGTGATGGAGCGACATTTACTGTTTAAAGCGTCTGTTTTCGTCCTGACCTGGTCTGGAAGTGACACATAAAAGAGTTTTAACAACATAAACACATTACCTCTTAACTGTTAACTCAATCTCCTCATTCCCTCACTTTAAAGTCAACTATTACATTAGACTTCACCTATTGGTCTGGTGGTGTTCATTCACACATACAATATGGTGTATGTCTATGTGTAGGAGCGGGCTGTTCAAGGCAAAGCTTTAATGAAATAATGTTTTCTGAATGAAGGACTTATCTGAAAACAAAAAGCTGTGTTGCCAGGGGGTGTGGTTGTTAGTTAGTAAAACCTGGGTAACACAATAAACTCTAGAAAAGTCATCATGTGACAGTTCAGTCTGAGGCCTTCTGATCTGTTGCTTCTGCACTGATCTGTGCACAGAAACAAGAGCGCCGTGATTCAATTGACAAAATATGTGACAACTTGTGGTCTTCCTGGGAGTGTATTGAATCATTGACTTTTAATGGGAAGCCTTTGTATTTGAATCATGAATTTCCCTTTTTTTTTTAAGCGACTTACCAAGTTTGTCAAATGAGCAAGTTGATTTCTGTTGACGTCTCTCCTCTCGACTCGGTGATCGTGAGCCTTTAGCGCGAGGATCGGTGCTTCTGTGGATGTGCGCTGGAGCTAAGGGAGGAGAGAACACAGACACACACAAACACACAAACTATTAGGATTACAGAGAAAGTGACCTCAGCAGGCAGGAGAGCACACCACCCTTTCTGTCAATATGAGAGCTTATGTTAGCATGACCTTGAGGCTTTTTGTCATTAATCAAAAGCATGTGAGCTCGACTCCACCTGGATTCTCTTGGAAACAAACAGTACTTAGCAATTCACCAGGGGAAAAAAAAACCCCATTAGATTACTGCTAAGATGGATGACCACCAACAGCCCTGCACAACATATGTCAAGTAAACACAAACAAATGCACCAAATGCTTCCCCACAAAATCCCAAAGCTACACAAAATCCCAAAGCTACAACTTTATATAAGTGTGTGTGTGTGTGTGTGTGTGTTGCTGTCTGACGTGGTTCATCACGCTGTGCTGGGCAAAGGGAAGAGCTGCAACTTCAAAGGTGTGGTGGGGCAAGTGTCCTGGGTGGGGCTGAGAAGCTGGGAGGAGGAAGGTGGGTGTGGAGCAACCAGCAGAGAGCCAACTGTTAATCATACATCTAACTGGGAATCAGTGGGGGGATGTTTGCCTCACATGAACCCGAGAGGTGTGTGTTTTCATGCGAGACGACTCACTTTGAGGTGTAGGTAGTTCATGTGTTTGTCGGCCGTGCAGTTGATGGGGCCTTCTGTGGAGAACTCCAGTGGGTAAAGGATGGTGTGGCCCTGCACACTGAGGGGGCAGCGGAGTTCGAGGTGGGTGTGGCTGATCCGACTGGGCCCGTTGTTCACAAGCTGGAAGAAGGAAATGAAAGTTAAGTCTGTGAATTATAAGAGCAGCTTGATTGCTCTCATATTTTACTTGTAGCTCAGAGGGGGTAGCATATCTTTCCCATCCTGAAACAGAAATAATTTCCTTTTGTTCATTCTCACGCACAAAAAAAAGGGAATTTTCAAGAAAGAAAATAAATCCCAACGCCTTATCTTAATGTGTTTTCTTAAGTTTTTCTTTTCTGCAGATTTAGGAACTCGACTTGCTTTATTCCTCTCAGCCACACTGAGTCTGCCTGGCTACAGCTAAGAAATACAGCTGATTACCTCATAGATGTGTTCCACTGCAGGCCCGACGTCCTGCTCCACCTCTTGGGTTTTGGTCACTTTCCAGTTGGCCGGCGGGAAGAAGACCTTATCTGGTCGAGACACGCTTTAAAGAGAGAAGAGAGGCGGTGAGAACTCGAGGCTTAATGAAATTCCAAAAAGATCAAATGAGTTAGTCTTAACACTCAACTCACCCTTGAAGAATGACATCAGCCTGAACAACCACCTCCAGCTTGTAGGGGACAACCTCGCTGTGGGAATTGTTCTCATTTTTGCTGTTGAAACAAAGAGAAGAAGAAAAAGATTTGATTAGCTGACACTGGAATCACTCCAGGCGTCAAAGTCTGTGAATCTGAAGCCGAATCAAAAGATCCCTTTGGCCTCTCTGTTATATGTTCACATCAAGTTGTACCTGCGAATCTGCAGATCAAACTGGACAGTTTTGTGTGAGTCCTTCAGCCGTGGCACCGTGAAACGCAGACCCGCCCACAGCTGCGAAGAGATCCAGCACATTAATCATCATCTTTAAATAAGGGAGGGTAGATCACAGAAAATAACATTTTCCATTTACCTCATTCTGGATAGCCAGATTTATCTCCATAAGGAAAGGTCTGGCTGAAATGACTCAAGACTAAGGGGAAAAAAATCTCTGGGTTCTCTCCATTTCTTTAAAACAATTATAATTGTCTTTGGCAGATTCGAGCTTAGGTTGTATCCTCTTTCCAAATTCAAAATGGTGTTGCGAAACTTGTTTAAAACGTTTATCAAACAGCACACATGAGGGACAAGAAACATCTTGAAACCAATAAGCAGCGCCTTTCAACGACACAGCCTCTGGGAGCTAACTTATCAGGGCTTTTGGTGTGATCAGCAGTTAGCGATAAAGGCTCACACTGTGTTGCCATAGTTACCATTTCGACTAGCAACTTGAGAAGTGAGGAAGTGATTTGTGTTGAGGAGCACGACCTTAGAGCAGAGTTTTAGCCGCTGTTGGCACACAGATATCCGTTTATAGACATGAATTAGATGGGACTGCAATTATAAACAAGAAATATAAAGGAAAGACTATTTTTATATATCTAAACTAAAACTATAGAATGTCACTATGAGGTTACTTTGTCCTAAAAAATGCTCTCAGGCTTTCCTCATAATCTCATAATTTACAAGGTATGTTATGTTGTTGGGTGTGTCAGTCTGGGAACTCATTACCTTTAAACTAATAATGCTACAATCTGATAATCTTACACAAGAACACGGGAGCTGATTCTTCAGGAACACAAAGTTTGAACATTGAATAGTCTAGTCATCTCTTCCAGTTAACACATACTTGATGGTTTTCCTCCACAGACCTATTAAAAGCGTGCCAGCTTGTGACTCCATCATTAAAAAGGGGAACTCTACCCAGCAGGGAGCTGAGGGCACAGATGGAGTCTGTGCTTCCTGTCACAACATTTCCTGACACATTCTGACTTTTCCTGTGCTGTTCACACTCAACCTGTGGATAACATGCAACTTTTTTTCCTTTAAAGAGCAGGAAATTATGATGGTGTGTCAACCTTTTACCACTTTCAGTACACTTTGGTTTCAGTAATGTATCCTCTCAAATATTAGACATCAAGCCTGAGGGGGAAAAATTATTAGAAACTGTGTTATCCTTACATCGGTACCAGGCTTCATGGGGTTACCCAAATCACAGCTGAGGTATCGGGTCTGGTTTTCCGTCTCATAACTGCAGGTCAGCTGGGTCAGGCTCTGAGAATAATTAGGACACATTGATCAAACCACAGCAAAAAAATAAATAATGATAATGGTAAATAAGTTGCTGGGAGTTGTAGTGTTTTCCTGGATTTGCGTTTCTCACCTCATTATTTCGGGCGATACCGCTGTAGTCAGCTTCAGGAGGGAGGATCACATACAGCTCTGCCTCGTACGCCCCTCCCTCACCCTCATTCCTGTAGTTGAAAGTCAAGGTCAGCGAGTTGTCATCACCCAGGTAGACTTCCTTCCTGTTCCTAAGGGGCAGAAAAAAACAACAGAAATTTACTATTAAGGTCAATAGGGGGGGGTTAAAGGGTGTCAGGACTCCTTAAACAAATAAAGATGGCTGAAGTTGTGTTATGGTGTTTGATAAACAATGACAGACTTTGTTTGTTTTTGCTGACAGAGGAGTGGGCATTAAATCCTTGTTGCTTGAATGAAACCAATAACATTTCAGGCTTCTATTTTGTTAAGTGCCCAACTACAGAAAAAAACATCACCAAGATTTATCTAACTAAGCCCCCCTCCCATTAAACCAAAACTTTTCCGATGTGGTAATAAAGTCTTACATGCTGTATAACAGAGCGTAGGAGTGTTAAACACCTCCCCCTTTCTTGCCTTCTCTCCCTCTTTAACTCCCTCGCACTCTCTCTGCAGCTATAAGAACAATGAGAAATTCCATATGGAGGGCCACACAGACGCTTTTAATTAGAGCCCCCCCTCTTATAAAGTAGAGGAAGGGAGAGAGGGAAGATTTCTGAAGCCGAGCCTGAGCGTAAATAATCGTCTGATTTAAACTGGCATAGCGCGTCTCAAACCAAACAAAGGCTCAAAACTGAAAACGCCATAAAACCTTTGAGCTCCATTGAGGGATATTTTTGTCGTTTAGTTTATTAGCTTTGGCAGTGCAAAAAAAAAAGAAGCAACAGTATATTCACACCACAGCCGTCTCATACTGATGTCATGCTCAGGTTGGGAGGCTCAAACACTGTTGTTCTGTTGTCGGCTGCTGTTATTGTGTCCCAGGTTAAAAGTTGTTAACGTATTTTATTCAACCATTTCCCAAATGGGCGAAAGTCAACTGTGACATTGATAATGAAAACCTGAAGGGACTTTGGTCCATGTTACAAGAAAGATCAACATTGGTGGTCAGACAACACAAACATTTCTGTCAGCAGTCACCAACGTTTTGGGCTAACATTACTGTTTCATCATGCTACACAAAAGTAGGAGTATTACTGCTAGCTACGGCAGGGCTAATGTGTTAGCTTAAGAATTCTAACAATTAACATTGCCAAAAGAAAGCGAGGTGAAAGGAAAGTGTATGCTATATCGTCGCTAACATTACTATTAGCTAGAATTGGCCGCTAATAATATTGTTCTGTGTAACACTGTAAATGTGAAATGAACGCAAGGAAGTAGTTGAGTGCTAAAGTTAGCAGCTGTCATCCATTCTACACTGTAGCTAACACTACAACGTGATCGTGTTGAACGAAGGACAGGTACGTAATCATTAGCGACGGCAGGGCTAGTGTGTTAGCTTGTTCACTAGTTTGATAACAACAAAAGTCTTGGAGTGAACATTTTTATTGTCGTTTTGTGTATCAATTGAAAATGTAAGAAAGGAATTAAGTGCTGAAGTTAGCTTTTTTTTCGAGTGGAAGCTTATGGGTTATCAAAAATAGTTTTACTTTGACATAAGGGCAAACTTAGAACAGAAAAGTACAACATTATTCTTTTGAACGCCATTTGGCTTATATCCCAAGGGTGACATTAGCAGTGGTTGTGTGTGCAAATATGGTCAATAGCCAATTGATTTATCTGTTTTCCCCCCACTGACTAATGACCATTCAGTCAATACCAAACTACTTAGGCACTCGAGAAAGAGCAAAAACACCAAGCAATTATTCTGATTTCAGTAATGACAGCTTCTGTGGCGCAATTTCTTGAGTTGCAGTAGCACGTTGCTAACACACACACCCTGAGCCAGTTGTACCATATGCTATGGATCAGCCATACATTGAAAAAAGATGGAGGCAGATGGTAGATAAATATAGGAATGTGAGATCAAAATGACAGAGGAGAGAAGGGAGTATCAGGGAGGCTGTTATTTTTGAGGAAAATGCTTGCAGATTTCTCGAATCAAAGTGTGGCGAGCTCCTGACGGCTGCAGACATAGGCGAGGTTGGGACTCTTTCCAAGCTGATCCCTTTCATCTCGCCTGTCTTTTACCCTTAACTTGTTTGTTGTAGCACCTGTAGAGCAGAGCGGCTTCCTGTTTTCAGAGGATGGTATATCCCTGCTCTACTGTAACACTGAGGCCATTAACAGCCCCCCTCTGGTATGCTAAGCTAAACAAAGCAGTGGAACAACAAAAACAGCTGTATTTACAATACAGCACTCAAATCCAAGGCCCCACTCCTATTGTGAAGGTGAAGAGTTCAGTGTCTATGACCCTGCTCACTGTTCACATTCTGATATATTTCCTGAATTTGACATGCTTCAGGGTTTTTTAGAGAAATATAAGGAAATGAACAGACTCACCCGTGCACTGCCAGCTTCAAGTCAGGAACACAGATGTTGTCTTCTCCGCAGTCCAGCAGAATTTGAGTCTGAAAGATGCACATAGGGGATGATAAAAAACTTTAAAAGAGGCTGCAGAGAGCAATGACCCAGCAGTGAAAACACACTGCTTTACATGTGAAGAGAATTAGGCACAGGAAATAAATCACATTTATTTTTTAAAAAGAGACAACAGGATGAGTGTAGCAAGATGCAACATGTGGTATGAGTAATACATTCCAACTCTTCCTCTCGACCACCTCCAAACACACACACACAAACACCTGCACTGCAATCCCTTTGAACGACATCAGACATCAACGCTGCCCATCAGACAGTTAAAAACAATGTTGTGCCTCAGAGGGACGATGACTGACTCAGTGAGGTCATAACAGGCGCACAAACACACACTCCCCTAAACCAGCTGTCCCCAGAAAACACACACACCCACACACATGCTTTCTGTTTGTGGCGTTAAGGGGTAGGAAATGATGAGCGGCGGTAGAGTCCGGCGCAAGAGAGAGAGGGAGAGTGTGCCGGAGGAGATACTGCTGTGGAGCTGAGCACAAAGCTGCACGCTCCGCTGCTCTCGCCAGCGTCCCACATCACAGCGCTAAGTGGAGAACCGCACTTTCACCACACACTGCGCCACCCTGCCAACCACAGCAGTATATGATCATATGGAGAGGGGAGGGGCCTGTAGCCTAAAGGAACATACAGAGACATAGGATCTGTACGTTGACCTGAAAGGCAGAAACGAGGGTTTCGAGATTACAGTGGAGGGAAAGACAACAAAGGAGCAGAAACACGGCTGGGTAAGTGGATAACCGCCGAGCGTGTGGCAGGGAAAGCCCTGCGGCTCGCTAAATTGCATCCCGCTGCGACTCTGACAGTGCGATGATGCTCCTGACGATGAGGATAATAAATAGAAATGGAAGAGGAGATTAGAGAGAGCCAAGTGCCCACCCTAGTCATTACACCATGCATGAGGCTCTAATTATGGACACTATGGTAAGCAACATGCTAAGTTGGATCTGTACATCTGCGCAGGGAAACAACAACACCAACAACAACATCGACCTCTTCATGTGACATAATAAGGGCGAGCAGTGGAATCAAAACGCTCACTTGGCGAGATGAGCTGAGGTCGTTAATCAAATTGACGCTCATGTGTTCAGATGTTTTTCATTTTGAGAACAATGAGGGTATTTATGCACAACTTCATCAATTTCCAAGCTTCCTCAAGGTGACAACAGTTGCTTCAGCACAAACAGACGCCGATCTGAGAATTATGACACTAAATAGATCCATCATTGTGCCATAACTCCTTATAGACACATGTGGAATATGTTAAAGAGGAGAATAGAGTTCAACAATCCTGAGCAAATCAACCCTCTTTAATTCTCAACCCAGCTTAAAGAGAGTAAGAGTTTGGCAGAGACGTATGAAATGTTACGAGGCCTGCCACACATTCTCCAAGACATATGTGGAAATCAATAGGGCATGATGTGTCTGATCAAGGCCATGGCTGTGGTATTAAAGTCACCCTGCACTGTGTTTACGCACTGTTTCATTCACACGGTCCAAAGAAAGATTAATGAAATATGTTGGCAGGCCCTCACTCCCCTTTTTACTCACACATAAACACAGATCACACTTGGCTAAAAAGGGCTTTTTTTCAGGTTTAACGTCAATATTTGAGCCCAGGCTTGTCTCAAGGTCTCAGCTCAGCAAAGGACCACATCTGTTAGAGGCCTGGCTGCTTTCATATCGAGGAAAAGCATCAATGACAGGGTTTGTTCTGATCCAACAGGAAAAAAGAGAGAAACACACCAGGACAGAGAGAGAGAGAGAGAGAGAAAGAAAGAGAGAGGAGGGGATACGATTACGATGATTGCTGATTCTTTCAAATACTCCTGATGCTGCACTCACATATGGTGCGTGCTGTGCCACAGCTGAGAGGATGCCACATGTCGAGCAAAATCAACTCACCGCCTGAAGGAAAGCGGCAGAATGCCGAGAGATTTCAAACAGATGGGCTGTGCCCCGCCTTGAAAAATCTACCAACTTTCTGTGTCTGAATCTCATGGAAAGAAAAGCTCACCTGTGTGCTGTTATGCACGCAAACAGACTGAGAGCAATGCCTGCTGGGAAGTTTTTACTCCACTGTGCATATGCCTCACATTTTCTTTTTGACAACAGCTTTCCAGACATCCTGGACCTTCTCCCAGCAGAGTAGTTAAGAAGCTACATTAAAAAGGAACAGATTCAGTCTTTCATCGAGGACAAGGGGAAAACAGGGAGAAGTTGGCCGGTGCTACAGGGAATGATGCCGATTTTCTTATCATCAGTCCAGAGAGAATGAGTCTGAACCATCTTAGAACCATATGTGCAGTTTCAGGGAGCTTATATTGATGTTGGATTCACTGAAGATCACTCCAGGCTTGGTTAACTCTGCTGAAAAGAAGACTTTGGGGAAGAAGAGTGAACATCAAAGTACCTTCTGCTCGATCACATTGGTGGTCTGATAGTTGAGGATAGGCCGCAGGCCTTGGGAGTCCGCTGCTGCTGACGGATCCAAGCTGAAGTTCAAGGCCACATAAATGGAGGAGAGCTTATCCCTGAAGTCTTTCTCTTCCTGCAGTTAGGAAAACATATACCAAAGTTTGTTTTGAAGTTTAAAAAGTGAGAGTGCGTTGCAAGAATGACCTAGAATTGATCGTTTTTGACAAAATACAACGTTAACTGCTTTGAATTTTTCGATTTTTGACTGCTCGATGACTTCAATAACAAGGAAAATCATCTTTACCATCATCTTTTACTAGTATGAAATATTGCTTACCCTTAGGTAGATCTTGGTGTGGTTGCACGTCCGCTCGCCACGCCTCACCGTCACAGTTTTCTGCTGTAACGGCTGCTGTGAATCCAAAAACAAAGCCCTCTTCACCGCCCCTTTCTGCTTGTGCTTGTGGCTATCGAGAAGCACCTCCACCTGGAAATCTGCAACATGTACCAAACACACGCACAAATGAGTATTCACAGCATGATCAATGCTCTTGAGTCACCTAATGACAGGGTTAAGAACGACTGCCATAAATACCAAGACGCTCACACAATGTAGTCCATGCAACGTAAAGTTAATGGCACGAGGAACGCTTGTATATAAAGGATGAAGTGATTAAAGATAATAAACATGGCTTGATTCAGAAGGGGACTGAGAGCTAAAGAGATTTTGAGGCTGATAAATGAAGATGTTTGGCATACTGTGCTCGTCTTTCTGTGACAACACAGACCGAAAAGCTTCATCACCTGCCAAAACACTTTAACCTAGAGACTATTATGGATTGAAAACATTACCAGTGGTGGCTTTTTGACAGTTTCCGCTCTTGTAATAAAGTGCAGATGAGAAAAGTTGGCTCACCCAGGATGTCTGGAAGGTGCTTCCCATCTGCAGATATGCAGAAACTCAGGTTGACGCTGTTTTGAAGAAGAAAAAAAAGGACAATGAGATAATGAGGGCCGCATGTTCATTCATGGAATTGAATCTGTGCAAATATTAAGTTCACACAAGACACCTTAAATGCCCTCGCTTGTTCTCCAAATTTCTCTCACCGCCCACTTTGCTTGTGTCCTTACATGGTCCACATGTTCACAGGGCACCAGGCGTAATGGGAAAACACTGAATAATATGAAAGAAATGTTTTTGGAGGCATCCTGGCATCTGACCGCTTTCCGGGCTGATAAATCGCCGCGTCTCCGTTTCCCACCCTCCGCCCCCCCCCACCACCACCACACACAAAGGCATAGCAGAGTTAAGAAGGGTGAAATTGGGCCAACGACTCGGGTTTCAGTGCTGACCAGTCAATGGCGGACTATATAAGCCTGCAGCTCTCTCCCATGACATCAGCTGCACAACATGCCGCTGCTGTCCAATAGTCTGCAACCCCAAAAAAAACCCCAATCCTTTACAAGTAAACCCACACAAGGGAAACAGAGGGTACAGTCAAGGAAGTGAGAAGAGAAAAAAGGAAGGAAAAGGAGAGAAGGGCTGATAAATGAGACAGAAAGACGCACATGCTACAAGGACTTCTATGGAGTAGCAATAACTTTATATGTTCACTCTTGTGTCTGCATGGATTTCTGCGCACGCTCGCAGGAGTCTACGTGTCCTGATGTTTCCCAGCTGTGCTCCACCACTAAACAATATCTCATTCAAAGCAACAGCAGAAAAACTTTCAGCCCCTCCCCTCCCTCCCATTATCCCTTGTGCTCTCCTTTTCACCCCCACCAAAAAACTCCTCATCGCCAGGCAACGTAGTATAATCAAGACACATGTGTATACAAGAGTTTCCTTTATGGATCAGGATCTGGAATTGGGGGGGGGGGGGGGGAAGCAGACACATGAGTGCAGTGTCAACCATGTCGAGCAGCGAGCAACCGTCTGTTTCCTCTCCCCTTTTCTGGAACTGAACACTGTGCACATTTGGAGGAGGCCATAAGGGGCTAACAATGCTGCTATTCAGCATGTTATTTCAATGCTGCGCTACAGAAACTGTGTGATATGGAGACATTTTGAAAATAGGTCAGATAAGAGCAGCCCCACGGTACGTTATTAATACCGTGACTGCTGATGAAGAGGATATTTCTTATCGGAACTTCCTGCAGGATTGGATTGTTTATGCATGTGAGGGGAAATTGGGAAGCCCATCTTTCTGGAGATAGGTCAAACAAATACCAACAGAGCAGAAATGAAGCCTTAGCCACAGGATGCCGAGTGTTGCTACTGGACAAGCTGAACACTCACCAGGAAACAGGAATGCTGTTGTTTCCATTGGAGATCATGCAGTTCTTCTCCTCAGGGTTGATCATAGTGGGGTGAACTGTCAGAGTGGCACTGGTGTTTACAATTGGGCGCGATCTGTGGGTCACAAAGAGGATGTAGAAGAAAGACACTGAGTTAGCGATGTCGCTAAATGCAAGTTTTAGTTTCATATTTAATGAAAACTCAAGTGGGCCTTAGAGTTTCTCATTAATAATTAATATAAGCATACAGTATTTTTTACATCATCAACTCTAGATTTAATCAAACAGACTACAGGATAACATGAAGTGTATGATTTAAAACAACAAACCTGTAGAGAACTGCCTTATTAACACCAAACGCACCAACGATGAGATCTGGGGGACAAAGACAGAGATTATTAAAACATTCAAAAGGATTCTTTTGAAAGTTGGAAAGTGTCTTTGCACACTTCAAACGTCGCTCACCTGGGTATCCATTCATGTCCAGGTCCTTATCACCTCTGAGAGCAAATCCAAAGCTGGCAGGGAAAGTTCCAGCGGCCCACTGGCCAGCGATCACCTGAGATGGATTTTCCCTGAGACCTCCTGAGTATCCGTTATAGATGTAGACCAGTCCCTGCCGATCCTCACCTCCAAATGGAGCGCTGATTGCCACGTCTGCCAAAGGAAAGAAGCCAGAACAAGTTTTAGAGTCGTATTAAATAAGCCCTCAAAAAAGTGAACACACCAGCTAATCCTACGTTCTAAATAACACGAGTCCACAGCCAGTAAAGGCACAGCGGGGATTCAAGCTAAATACAAATGTTTGCTAATAAGCAGTAAACAAAAGAGTACATCTGAGGCTAATTATGTCATTACTTCAGCTAGTATGTGGTCATAAACCAATGTTTTAGCAAATGAATAAAGGGCAAGAAAAGAAAAAAACATTAGGCTCTTTCCTTTTGGTGGTTTCATGTTTACTTAGGAAGACTGTAAGCATTTATAATCATACTCTCAAAAGTAACTTAAATGTACTTATTATTTAGGTCAACTTTATTTGTTTTTGACCAAATTTGCCAATTTGTTACTTGAAGTGCACTTCAAAAAATCACTAAGTCCATGTTTAGTTTTAAAACGAATACTTCATTGAAAATGACACCAGTCCTACTACTCCCTCATTCTTACCGTTGAAACCATCCTGGTTCAGATCTCCCAACGGGGCAATGGTGCTGCCAAATCTCCCAAAGACCTGCGTGCCTGTCAGGTGAGGTAGGAGGAGTGTCAAGTTCAGGAGGCCTTGCTGAAGGTAAATATAGACCCGGCCCATCTCTTCCAGACGCCCATCAGAGCCTCGGACCATGAACATCGGTGCTCCCACCAGCAGATCAGCCATCCTGCAGACAAGTCAAGTTAAGTCACACCAAGTCATTTAAGCTCAGACAAAACGACGCCTTTAATGAGTTGTTGGTGGCATCCAATCTGGGTTCTGCCAACTTATTGTCTGGCTGCAAAAGTGAAAATGAGAGAGGGTGGGAAAAACCAACAAGAAAACATTTACTACTCACCCGTCACTGTTGATGTCAGTTGTTGCCACTGCATAGCCAAAATATGATCCCATCTGTAAACAGAAGTGTTTCCATGAATGTCAGAATCCATAAAAACCGTCAAGAGTGCGCTTGTTCTCAAATTAAACCAAATAAATTATTGGACTCGAAACTTCAAACTCGCTCTTAAAGAAAAACGAGAGTATTGAAGGAAACATGAAGGCTTGATGGGTTTTACAGGTTCAGCCCAGTTTTTTTACTTTTCTGTTCCAGGTCGGTTCAATTTTCTGAATATTCTGCCATGAACTTTAATCTAAAAAGCACAAACTTTGCAGAAACAGTCTGAAATGCAGAGCATAAGCAAAAATTCACTTGTATTTTATTTATTCAGCTGAATCCATCATCACTGTTTTTAATGAGCTTGGTGCTTTTCTATTCCCAGAACCATTTGCACAAATTGCGACTGCTCTTTCCCCTCAATAATTGAGCTTTACAGCAAACCACCAAGGAGACCAACATCTAGTTAAGAAACTGCTGCAAAGGAAATTATTGTTGCTAACACTGACTCAACAAATTGATGAAAAGGCAAAGAAAATACAGAGGAAGTGGAGCGTGAAGGAGCTTTTTTGTTGAAGGTTTGAGATAAGAGTTCTCAGACTTACCTGCTCGCCAGTGTAGTTAATCATGGTCTTCAGATCTGTACCGTTCAGGATAGACACCTGCAACACAGCAGCCACATATGGTGAACGTCTTTTTTATATGGTCTCATATAAGCACAGACTCTGGTATGGAATTTGCTGCAAAAATAAATCCCACTGTGACAATAACACTCAGACTATTTTCTTTCTTTTTTCCTGTATCAGCCCCAAATCTTAACCCCAGGCGTTTTATTCTAAAAGCACCAAAATGAGAGCCAAAAAGGAGAGCGATGATTAAGCTTTCTTACCGAACCGTAAAGCTTGAGTCCTTTTGGAACGCCAGCCACAAAATCTGCAAGGGGCACAGAGAACATAGCAAAGATTTAGGAGGGAAATATCCAGATCAAACCCAGCAGGAGGATAAGAGAATTCCATTAGTGACTACTTTCCAGGTCAATAATCAGGTAAAATATTGTAGCTGACATCGATTATGTTCACTTCAGCTGTAATATTTCTGTGTTCTCCCTTATGTACGCCTCAATGAACATTGGCCATGACTGTACGTACTTTACTTTATTGACTTACCCTCCACCTGATCGCCACTAAATTCCCCAACAGCAACTGAGTAGCCTGTAGGCGAGAGTACAAATACAGTCTTAGCTTGCATGGCAGAAAATGAAAAAACAGATAAATCTTCAGTTTTCATAGAAGTGCCAAGCCGACGTTTGCTTCTTTACCTTGGTAGCTGTCGTCATGTTTAGCCTGGACCTGTTTGGTTTGGATCTGGTTCTCCACAGACTGCATGAAATAGCCTGGGTAGTATGCTTTAATGATGTCCTCCTTAGCTGCAGAGATAACCTGACCTAAAGTAGAACCAAAGAGGAATTAAGATCAACTTAAAAGGGGTTTTTTTTGGTTGGATTTCCAATGTAGTGGATTTGTTTGTCCACCATACCTTGCCAGTAGTAGCTGCCTGGTCCTCCTAATACCACTTTGCCATCCTGAAAGATAAAAACATTGGAATTACTATAATGAGAAAGAAAAAGATTGTCATTACATAGACAGTCCTTTATCAGAGAGTCGAATGTTCTTGGAAAAAAGTTATTTATACCTATGTGTGTCTACTTTTTTCTTACTTTTTTTGAATGACAAAAAAAGCCAATTTACTATTTCTTTATGTTTTTTATTACTATAGACTAAAACGCTGACTAGTTGGATCACTCTCAAAGTTATATATGACCAATTATGAATCTTTATACTTTTGTTATCCATTTCAATCTAAATAAAGTTTTTTCTTATAATGCCAGAAACTTATGGTGGTTCCCCAAAAGGAATACAGATTTACCGTTGTGAAGTCAGCACTGAATCCTCCCTGACAGTAGCCCTGTCCCATCGCATCACTGATCTCTGAAAAAAGGAGTAGTGGTTTAGTAATTTGAATTATTCAAAGTGATAAATATCCAGAACATCTTGTTTCAAGGCATAAAATCACATCAAGAAATAATACTCAGTACAAATCACAGGAAAAAACCTATCCCAACTCCATTACAGAGTAGTAGTGTTATATCAACACGATAATCTGTCAAAGCTAACATTAATGAAAGATTACAATACAGAGGTGACAGTTACCTGTTCGACAGGGAGCATACTCCACAAACTTTGTGAAATTATGCGCTGAGAGGTAGCATGTTCCTGTAGCGTCAGAGCGGGGGTCATCCTTTTCCGTTCTCCAGGAGTAAAGGGGGGCGCAGGCCTGGGGTAGATGGAGTTGGAGAGAGAGAGAGATGGGGAGGGGAGGAGATGCGTTGATGTATGGAGTGAGCTTTGAGGTGGGAGATGTTTTTCCAGTTGCAACAACACCCCGGTGAACTCAGGAGGAGACCTGGGCTGAGGTCACCGGTACATCTGGAGCGGGGTAACCATGTAACTCAACCCAGGTCACAACCCCGACAATCAGACCAAACAAGAGGCGGCTAAACTTTGATGTCCCAGAGGGGGGCAGAAACATTTCTTTACAGTGGGTCGAGACAGAAGGTGAAAACTGTACCTGAATGACAACATCTTAATGGACACTAATGTGAAAGACAAATTTCTGACAAAACAAATACACATTCCCCCTGACGTCTGACGAGGTAGCAAGTTTTTAACCACTTAGAGGCCAAGAGTCATAACAGAAGAGAGCACCAGTGGTGTGGTGCAAAGTGGAAACTCTAACCCTCTTTGTCATCTTCCCAAATCATCGCTGAGAGTGTTGCCTTACCAGAATTGTGTCACCGTGTGATCGCACAGTGGCGCCGAACCATTGGTGGGACTTGAAATCGATCTTATGTTCTGTGTCATTGATAAAGACAGTGCGATCCCCTAGGAAAAAAACACAGAAAAATGACACTAAGCAACAGTAGTTTGACAAAAATAAAGCATTCCATCAGTTGGACATTGAATATCTGAACTCTTTCCAGACCCCTGTGAACATCTGGACAATTGGCGAATAGCAGACTCTAAGACTTTAGTTTCACCCTTCTTCATGGAAAGACAATCATATTAAGAAAATGAAAAATGGTGTTTGCTGCCAGGCCACTGGTCAGGACTAGACTTGTCCAGATACCAAGACTGGAATCAATATCGGACTTCAATTCTGCAATAAATGCGGTATTTGGTAATGGCGAGTATGCCAGACAATGCAATGATTCAATATAATAACTAATCAGCCAAAAGGTGCACAGTGTACAGAGTGTAATGTTATTCAAAGCTAATCTTCGTTTTTATCACAATAATATCAGAAGGGTAGTTGGTAGGTTTCAGAATTAGTATTAGTCAAAATTAGAATCTGAACATCTCTATCCAGGACATAAGGGTTCTTCTGGGTTTGGACTGGGCTAACTTAGCTTAACCTCCCTGACCCCTTCACTCTGTTTGGCCACCTGGTCACTAACGCTGCTGATCTCCCACTTCAACGCTTTGACAGCAGCAGGTGACATGACAGATGGTCCGGGGAGTCAGGTTTTAAACACAACTTTATTGGAGGACAGATGTAACATCTGTGCTGCAGTGAAGATTGAAGTGCAAACAAATTGATTTGGCAAGGCAGTCACATCGCCACGATTGACTATCGCAGACACAGTGAGGGGACGTGAAATCAGTATGAGATTACATCGCTAAGGAAAGTGCAAATGTGAGGTCAAAAAGCATCCAAAGTATATGTGAGACAGCCAATCTGCCCTTCGTCTTCACAGTCCTTAGACTCTTTCCCCCTTTGTCTGAGATGTGTAGAAAAAGTGTAGAGCCTCATTTCTACTATGGACTGATTGATACTGCCAAGATCACGACCTATGTGTATTTGAAGAAAGCAGGCTGTGTGTCAGGCCTCTCCGTCCACTCCTGTCCGCCCCTGGGCTTTCCTCCCCAGCCAACACGGCAGCCTGGAGCTGCTCTGTGTCTTTGTGGAAACAGCGAAGGGGCTGGGGTCCAACGAAAACATACACACTCTGGCCCAGTTTCCTCATAGCAACCTCACAGTCATCTCTGTTTAGGCACACACTTCTGTCTCTCTATTCTATGTTTTCATTTTCAATATTATCTCCATCTTGCCATTCATTTTTTCTTTCACTAGGCTTTTTATGTCTTTACAGATTTTGCTCTCCAGCTTTCACTTCACCCAAGACAGACAAGACAGTAAGCAGAGAGATTATAGTTTTTAATAACCTGACTGTATTTCTGCTTAATCTCCATCACTGGGCTTTCCCTGCTTAAAGTTATTTATTATGGGCTGACAGCACAAAGACCTTCCCCCTCTGTGTGGTCAGAAGTCTATGTGTGAAAAGAAGTGCTTTAGCCATACAGGCAATAACATGACCGCCACTTCAAACGGATCTTCATGGGCTTGTTACTTTAACTAATCTGCCCTAGCTGCATGGTGCTTTTTCCTTTAAGCGTACGCCTTCTAAGTATTTTCATAACCGGGGGGGTCTTTGTTTAGATAAGGCCGATGTAAAGCCACCACAGAGGTAAGAGCTGAGCAGTGACTGTGTTAATTTGAGTAGTGTTACCACTGCAAGCGCAAGTAGCAGCAGAAAAGTTTCTCTTGTAATCCATGTAGTATTACTATGATCCTCTCTCTCTACATCTGTATGCATTCATGAACGTTAAATGCAACTTGCACATGTGCACTCCTAAAAGTTTCTCGAAACGTTTCAGGACAGTCTGCCCCTGACATTTTCCAGAGATGCCCTTTAACACATATCCCTAACAGTGGGAGATTTACGTTTTCGGATGGGTCGGGCATTTATATCAATGCTGCGTGTACTTAAAAACGTGGAAAATAGCAAAATGGCAAGCAAATAGCATGAAGCAGCTTCATTATGTGCAAGAAGATCCATTCGGTCTGGCACTGCTTAGGCCATGTTAATGTCTTCACCCTTGCCTACTTGCTCACTGTGACTTTTCCCAAATAGCCCTTTGCCACTACTGCAAAGGGCTTGCTCAGTGGTGGATTAATATTTGGTTATCTTCCATAGACTACCATCCAGGCCTGCTCGACAGGTGACCTTTTTTAAGTCAGGGAGGAAACACATCAGCATAACCGCCCAAAGAGGCTAAGCAAAGTTCTCACATGTTAGCATTAGTTCTCGCATTAGTTCTGTTCTGTGTCACGTTAATGGGCGATGAAAAGTTCTGTTTGTTGTCTGGGAGTTCAGTGAAACCGGCCAGCTGGAATCACATGAAATGCTTTCAATGAAGAAAAGGGAGATCCAGAGGGGCGATAGCCAGGGAACCCAGAGAAAGACCACCAAAAAAAAAAGCATGTCATCCAACTGAAACCTCCTGGGACAGTTAGCCCTGATGTGACATGGTGCCCGGCTTGGTGTCTCCTGGGACCAGCAGAAGAGTGCAGGGAGCTTGAGTGCATTCATAGACTTGGTTTGCCTTTGAACTGTGTGTGAGAGGATGGCCATTAGTGAGGTTAGAGCCTCTCCTTGTGTGTGTGTGTGTGTGTGTGTATGTGTGTGTATTTGTGTGTCACTGTGGAAGACAAATGGCCAAATTCACTCATCACATCAGCCGTGATTCCTGTGGGAGTACCGACAGCAGGAGGGCAGAGGGGGACAGAGCGGAGGAACGGGGCTCTGGTTTCTCCCGCTTTCCTCCCTCCCCTCCCTCACCCCTGGCTTTCTTGCCCTGCCTCTCTTCCTCCCATCCTGTATGTGCCCCACTGACACCTTCCCTACCGCCCTCGCTCCCATCTCTGATCCATAGAAAGGCTCTTATCTCAATGGAAGAGGAAGTGGATGGGAGGGGGCCTCGAGCCACTTTGACCCAATTAGTTAGGCTAATTAAGAGGGTCTGTGGCCTGTGGGTCAGAGCTCAAACACACCCAGAGACTGTGAGACCTATGACACCACTTTGTTATATATACCGGTAAGCAATAATCTAGAAGAAGATAAATTATAATTTAGCAGCACTCTTTTTCTCTAAGGCGAGACAGTGTCCTAAAAAGAGATACCTGAATGCCAAACACAGAAGCTGTCTATTTGACCCTTTAAATTATGATAATCTGGAAACCACCCTAGTGACAGTGATGATTAATTAAGAACCATCTAAGAAGATGTTCAAAAGATAGCTTGGAAACTAAAAATAAAATATGTTTATATGATTTTATGATGTACAAAAATCATAAGCTTGTGGTAAATGTTGCAAAAGAAGCATTCTTAAGGACCAAGTCTTTGTGTCAACTCAACTAAAAAAAACTGTATTTATCCCACTGGAGGCAACTGGTTTGGTGTTAAAAAACGATCTCAAATCTATTAAGTAAAATGTTAAATAAACTATCAATGTGATTTTATACTTGATTAGCTACAGGAAAAATATCATAGTTTGGGTTTATAAGAACATCCCTAATGTTGAATTGTGTAACTATACACAGTTAATGTCAACTGTTTGTCCCACATTGAAATTGACCTCTAATCACCTGGATGAAAGGCAGGGAAATTGTTTATCCATCAATCTACCACAACCGCCGAGCTGACTTTGGCTCTTCTTCTATATCACCTCGCTTCACCGCCACAACAGAATTATGAGCGAAAGGAGTCTAGAAATGAAGGTAGAGCGGTACCCTTGGACATATTCTGAAGCTTTGGACCATTGACAGGGCTGCAGTATTTGACATCTTGGGAGTCAGAACGTGCTGAACAGCCAGTATCATCATTGCATGTACGTTTTTATTGCTCTGGTATTTACTATCAGGATTGGAAAGAAAAAGCTACAGTAAATGAATCACAGCAGTAAATGTCATTCATGCAACAGCTGTTTGGCATGGCGCACATTTGCATGCACATGTCCGTGTTCCCCTCGTCAACAAGGAGATTCTGCCATGATCCAGATGTCAGAACCACCTCTGGCACTCAAATCAGCTCCTTCAAAGCCCCTTTAAAATATATGAAGGACGTTCTCTGACAACCCAGGGGACCAACCTTCACTGTAAGGCCTCGCTGCTTGCACATGACATCACTCACTGTGGCCTCCAGCCAGCACTCCTGGATGTGCAAAACATTTTATGTTGCAAGAAAAACAGCGCAAAAATAGGGTACCAAGCAGCGGTGTCCAATAAAAGAATGTTGTTAAAGCAGGCTTGTGAAACACTCAGTGGAATATTTTTCCCTATTGTGCACGATGGACTGTAAATTTAAGTTGGCGCATAATGCTAAGCTTTGATTTCTAAGGAAAGGAGCCAAGAGTGCAGCAGGAACTGTCTCCTTATATGTGTAAAACATACTGTCAGCGTGTGTTTTTAGTGGATGTTCAATCTTAAAACTAGTCACAACACAGGCTTTCTGCTTTCATTGTCCATTGCTTCCCCATGGCTCCATTATTCCAAACAGGCTGAGAGCTGCTCTGTCAACACGCCGAAACATGAATCCATCATTAGACAATCTTACGCACTTCCTTTTGTTCTCACAATCCACTCTGCCCAATTCTCAACTGGAGTCTTTTTGTCACGACCGGTGGTGTCTACTTCACCTGTCATACGAACAGCACATTTCTTTGTCTGATCTATTTGTTTATTGGTTGCTTATCTCCCTAAAGTTCCTGGGGCAAGGCATCACAAACACGACCTAAAGGAAGGGAGGAGAATCCTTTAAAAAAAACTTCTTCAACACCCCATTATCCTTTTTTGGCCTCTAAAGAGAAGATACGAACAGGAAGAAAGGATCATGCGTCCAGGAAGTTCAGTGGAGTGGAACGATGACGCCTGATCCAGACCTGCTGCTGACAAAAGGAGCAGAGAGGAAATGCTCTAGTGGCTTCAAAAGTGTACAGAGATCAGCAAACCTCTGGTATTGTAAAAGGCTTTGAACTGGATCTCCACTTCAACATCCATAACCAGGTCATTGAATACTCAGTAGCTTTTTTAAGCCAAAGGTGATAATCACTGCTCTCCTCTTGGATATACATTACACCATGACTTCTGCAACATCCATTTTAATGTCGCCTTATCTCAAGAGACTCACCCCTTTCTTTACCAAATGGGGAAATATCCAGCTGTGAGGGACATTTGTGAAAGTTCAAATAGGGAAGGCTGTACAGACATTTTCTATAAATGTGTTCGAGTACATGTGTGAAAAGGACTTGACATTTGTCTTTGGTACTCAAATATCAGAACAACCAACGGATCTCTTTAAAGTCTTACCTTCAGGATCAAACGCGATGGTATGACAATCTGACTGGTTGAAACTCCATGGACAGTAGAAGACCGATCCTCCCTCCGTAACATTTACCTGCCATGTGTTGGCCTTTGGCGCTCCTATTACCACACTTGCACTGCAAAAAAAGAGACAGAGAGAGAGGAAAGTTACTCTAAATCTGATGTTACCAGTTTACCATACCACAGGATCCTTACAAACCTGTAAATTGCAAAGGTTTGAAGCTCTTAACCTGGCCTTGATTAAAAAATTGCATTCCAGACCTCCCCCTCGACAGATTTAGACACATTGCAGTGTGCACATTTTACCGCTTACCTAGCTACATTCTGACTCAGAAGCAAAACATTTTAACAGGTTGCAGCACAGTTTTACATAATCCCATACAGCTAGGGGAAACTGATGCTTTGACATGTGTTGTTGAAAAACACATTCGCGCCACTTGTACATTCAGACACACAAGGAGAAACACTCACACAGTCACACATGCATCCCTGAGGGGCAGATTGAATAGGAAAACAAGAAAGCAGACAGGCTAAGTGGAGTCACACTCTTGTTTCTACAGCTGTGACAGCAAACTTCCCTGTCCTTGGACCTACAGTGCCCTATGTACAACCACAAGAAAGGGAACAGACTAGTTCAACTGACATCAGTGGATATGATTAGTCCAGGACCAATAAAACACAGGACAGAATTGATAGATGAAAGAGGAGAAGAAGAAGGGGCAGTGAGAGATGATATGCCAATGTAGAAACCTCAACTCCAGCATGGGGAAGTTAAAAAAGATGTACCCCAGGAGACTGAGCTGCTAAAGTGTTCAGATTAGCCATTACCTCATTCTGGACCGACTTGACCCAACAAGCACCACAGAAAAATTGCTGGCATTGATGTGGGTTAAAGAGGCATGGGACCATAGAGACCAGATGGTGTCTAGGGGGCTACTAAACAGGAAAAGAGACCACCCTTTCCGGCCCCTGATCTTCCAATAGTGCATGAAGGTTGACAATTTAGCTAAACTTAGCATCCTGCCCTTGGGGTATTACTCATAAGGGTGCAGAGGGAGACAGGGAGCTTGCATGAGTCAAAATGTAGTTAAAGTAATTTACCATATTTATATGACGTCATGCTCGGGGTTGGAGCTCCAATGCTGTTTTAATGTGGTACTGCTGTGTAACAATCTTTTTAATAACAGAGAGCATCAGATGCATCATCTCAAGTGTATCTGTCCTCGACTTTTGAGCAACTAAACTGACAATGAACGTGAACATCTGGAGAGAGAGATATTTTGAGTGAAACATATTGTTTAACCCAAGAGATGTTAAAACATGCAATAGAAGAAAAAAACTTGGCTATGTTAGCTAACAGGTGGTCAAATTTAACCTTGCCTGTTGTGAAGCTAAATGAGTAAGGCTATGAAAGTGTTATAGCTTCAAATGCCCTATAGGCATCCTGCCCCCGCAGAGTACCTCACAACAGGGTCCGAATGCTATTTGGTTACTATTAACATAACCTCAAGGTTTACGTTTTAGTGAAGTCAAGCCAAGTTTACTTCCCTAGTTTTTTTTTTACAAAACATTGCATCATGTCCCCAAAAGTACAGCTCAATAGGGTATGGAGGTTAAACTTGCCAGTTTACTTAACAATTAGCTAGCTAGTTTTAGATTTTAGCAAAAATGTATCCAAACGTACAACTCAACAGGATCCATTGGCTATAGTTCACTTTACAATTAGCTAGCTAACATAGCAGTAAGGCTTACATTTTATGAAGACACTGCATTATGCTGCAAAAAGTGAAACTCAATAGGGTCCAGAGGCTAATAAACATGCTAGTTCACTTTACAATTGGCTAATAAGGTTTACAGTGTGGCAAAACATTGCATCCAGCATTACACCACAGGGTCCAAATGCTTTAAGTTGCTTAATTGTTAAGATAGCTTACATTACCTTAAAATAGTTAACATTATATTTAGCAAGCGCACGTTAATGTTAGCTAGGAATTTGAACATTTCCTATTGTTGTTACAAACTAACATTAGCTGAGAGATGGCTGAATGCTCAATAGTTGGTAATAATTTATCAAATATATCATTGTAACCGGAAATATTTGCCCAACATCTCTAAACTTTTGACTAGGCCTGCTGGTTTTGCTTTTGGTTATTTACAGGAAAAGCACTAGCATGCGGATTTATCTACTTGATTGACAAAGCCGATACAGCTCTCCAACACTGCAACATGAAAACCATCTGATTATGGTTGATAGTCTCAGGCTTTGTTATGGGAAAAACTCATTCCTCAGAAGCCATTGATAACCTCAGATGACAAAACACAAAAAGCACTGTCTAGCTTGTGGAAAAATGTAACAGAAGTGGGCCAGGGTTTGTTGGTGGTCAGCACAAAGCTTTCAAATCATGTCAGAATCCAAGGTTTTGAAAACACACAACTGATGCAGAACAAAGGGATGGCCTACAAGCAGAAGTTATGAGTTATAGGCTTATATGTGGTCTAGATACCTCAGAAAAGATAGCCTACAATGCCAATTTTAAATGTAGAGCAGAAATCCCTGATTTGGGTTGAAAGAGGGAAAAAGGAACAACCAGTCCAACTTTGAGAGCAAGTTTCTGACCTCATATGCAGACAAAGGAATACCCAGAGCAGCTGAGCTCCACCTGCAGAGGGGCTTCGTGTTCAGGGACCCTCACACACTGAGATGGCTAGGGATCTTCCTTTTTCTGCCTCAAGACTTTCACACAAATGCACATGCTCTAAATATCTAACACTTGCAATTATGCTCTGTAAAGCTGTTCTTTTTTGGGGCTTTTTATGCCTTAATTCAGAGATAGAAACAGTGGATAGAGTTAGGGAGAGAATGTGGGGAATGATATGCGGGAAAGGAGCAACAAGTTGGGTTCAAACTGGTACCCAGCACACTCAACACCTGCAAATCATAGATATGGGCTGAATAAAAAAAGCTCCAAAGATTAACTATAGTGATAATCTGCAGGAACGAATTCAGAGCCAGGAAAAGAATAGAGATTAACACATTTTTCTTGGGCAAAAACCTTAAGAAATAATCTGAGTGTAACTCAATGCAGTACATGACACCACTGGAGGAAAATGTACACACTCAAGAGGCCAAGGACACTGGAAGCTACAGATCTGAACCGAGTCCAGACATAATTGACCATGGCAGCTTTTCAAAGGGAAATAATAAAGGAAATAACAAAACAAGCAGATCATGCTTTCAGCACGTTGGCAGCTGGAGCGCGTTTTCCTCTACCTTTTACAGAAAAACACAGATGTGAGGACACACATACAAAGATGGCTATCTGAAAGTATTGCGAATGAGGAGAAATTAGCATTTAATGGGTCCTTATCAGACAAGGATCTGTCTAGATCCAAACTGGTGTTTCCGCCCAACACTTTATCTGCTGTGTGCTCTGAAGGTAAAGCTTTTGTATCATTAGCATTTAATGAAGCTGTAAGTGCAGTCGACTGAGAGCTGCATTACAAATTCCTTTGTAAGAAAAGGTGGAGTGTATTGCTGGCTCTTGGGATGGTATGCAAATATATGTAACTGGTAGGGGGGCAGCTGTAATGCTTAAGGGCAGACTCATCAGGTTGTATTGAGCCAAAGTGGCTAAAATGAGTCCAGACAAAAGGCTGTTCACAGAGGGAGAGAGTGATAGGGATAACAGCAGGCAAAGCTGAAAAGCCATGACCAAACTTTAGTCAAATGTTTTGGCTACTGGAGAATTAAAGCGATCCTCACTTGCTCATTTCTAAGTGCCATGTTGCTATGGAGAAAAAGCAAACCGATTTCACAAGAGACCTCTGCAATGCCTTAGTGGGGGACTAGTTTGAAGAGAAGCATCAGTGACTTCACCAAGTCAGCCCCACCGGCTGCCACACAGCAGCCACTAATGACCTCCACCACTCAGTTGACAATTAAGCATGAATTAAGACTACTGTAAATGATTCGAGCAGCAAGTTTGGAATGCGTAAACAACAGCTTCACTATTAGCAAAGACTGGGTTTGTCTCATTTGAAGCTAAAATGCTACCAAAAATCTCCCACCACACCATAATTGCCAGATTGTAAACCGCTATTTTATGTGGAGTTGAGAAATAAGGGGTGCTGGAACTTGATGATGTGACACTATCATGCGTGCATAGCTATTGCTAATATGGTTTATGATGAGGTTACAGAATGGGGTTAAAAGAGGGCAAATTCCTCTGTTACCCCCTGCTCCTTGAGCCCAGACAACCCCCCCCACCCCCCCCACCCCACCCATTCCACATTTAATTGTCTTCCACCCAGCTGCAAAGCTGATGTCACTCGAACACTATTATAAAAGCTTTAATCTAGAAAGTAGGGAAAAATCGCATTCGTTAAGCCTGCCAAAGTCACCATCTGCAGTCATAAACATGGCTCAACAAACCCTATAACACAAATGGGGTGGGTTTGTGTGTGTGTGTGTGTGTGTGTGTGTGTGTGTGTGTGTTGGGGAGGGGTGGGGGGGTAGTGGCCTTCAAACCACAGCAACACCTACGTAAAACATGTACAGTGACCCATGGAGTGTACACTAAGCTATCAACACATGCTTGAACACTGAAGTGATTCTATATCTTTCAAATGCAGTGACCTGATCCGAGCCAGAGGCCGCACTTGACCTTCACCGCTCTCGCTCAGGCAGAAAATAAATGAAGCGTGCCCAAACACAACAAACATGTCCAACGACAGCCATTCTGAAGAATTACTTCATCAACAAAAATCAAACATGGTTAAGACTAATGGGAGTTGAATTATTGAGCTGGATAGTTAGTTTACATTATTCAATATATTAATGGATAGTTGTATGATGTCATGATCTGTACTATTGACTTTTTGAAAAATGCATGTGCACTAAGAGTGAGATCAGCTGGATGACAGAAATGAGTGTGTGTTGACGTATTCTAGACCACATAGAGCCATGCGAGCAGTCTTGCATCTTCTCAAAGCCAAGGCCAGACAGAAGCTGTTTGAGTCTGCTCGTCTGCCATATGGATGATCTGGACGATCTATTCCCATACACACCAAACACACACACGTGTTTTCAGTGCTGCTGTCCAGGAGTCTGGGGATG